TTTGGAAACCCAGGGGCACCCTTGGGGGTCCCCATATCCAGGGGCGAAAATCCTGAACAATTGTGAATTTGAACTCCCGCATCATTAAAAGCTACGTTGGTATGGGGGTGGGGCCGGGGATTCACCAAGGGGCGAATGGGGGCCCATGTGAAGACATGCCCTGAATTGTTTTGTAATAATAAACCTCCCCAAAAACCGTTCCTCCCTGGACAGCAGCGCCAGCACCCGGCCGCCCGGGGTTCGAACCCCAAATTTTGCAGCCGTGGGTTCCTCCCGAAAAAACGTCCCCCCAAGGGAAAAGTTTTCATGCCCCCCCGCAGGGGCAAGTTTCCGTAATCCCCTCCTGTTTTATTCCCTTCCAACCCAACCCGGGGGTATTGGGGCCCCGGGGCGGCCCCCCCCCCCCCCCCCGCCCACCTGCACGAACTCGGTGTTGATCTTGGCCGGAAAAGAGGGATGAGTCTCGAACTGGGGCCCAATGGTCGGCAGGTCCAGCGCGTCCACGTCCGGAACGAAGACCACGGCGTGCGGGTTGCCCATGCTTACGCATGTGACCTCCCAATCCTTGCCGTCAACCTTTCAGGGGTTTCGGTGCAGGCCACCAGGAGCGATGACGGGGGGGGGGGGTGGTGGTGGTCATGTTCTGCATGCCTTAAATAATAAGGCCATTGACCACGGGCCCTCGAGATGACGGAGCAGTGTTCCTACAGGACCGATGACGGATGGCCAATGTTTCTTCCTACGTTGCCAAAGGTGGGAGGGATGGGGGAGGCTGCGGAGAGCCAGTGATACCCAGCAGCATCGGCCAGAGACTATACCATACTGTAGCAGCTATTCTCTTCTTGGGAAAAATCTTAGCCTTGTTCCGGGTGTTGAGCGACTTCCTCCGTAAGGTCGAAAAAAACGTCACGATTTCGGTGCCAAAAAAACGAGATGCGGGCTGTGTGGTGTGTGGACAGTGCAGCAAATTGGCAGCGCTTTAGATTGAAACGCCGAGAGTTGATACCGAGGCGAAGAGCTCAAAAGGTATTGACACATACCGCCGGTAGCCCCGAGAACAGTAACCAAAACGCCTCGCTTGGCTGTATTGAAACCGCAACTGCTGCTACCGTCTTGTATCGATGGATATTCGTCCGGTGGGTTTAAGAGCTGTGCTTTTTGTTTGGTTGCATCAATCTCTCGGCCCCATTGAACTAATAGCAAACCGCCCACCTTGATCGGCTCCTTCAGCACAACCCCATCGTCGTTAGTGGGCAGAGTGCTGGGCACCTTGGGCCCGTTAAGCTCCGGCGGTCCCATGTCCACCGTGACTAGCCCGTCCTCTCGCGCCTTCCCCCGAATAGTTTGGTGGCCGACGGAGGCAAGCCCGAGAGGAGCGGGGGAGGTCAGTTGTTGCATGGAAGGGTGGGTGGGCAAAGTGAACGTAAGGAAAACATGTCCTGCTTGTCGCTCCACCAAACGCAACCAAACCAACTGAGGCAAGCAGCAGGGTCGGCCAAGGGGAAGAGAGGTGGACCATGAGAAATCGCGTGGGCTCTGTCGAGGCAGCCTTCTTCGGGGGCAAGGATTAATTCAGGACTGATACAACAGCACACACGCCGCATCCGCTCTCGCACGAAAGCAAGAGGAAGCAGAGCCTTGCTCTCGTGGAAGTTCTAAAGGCCACGGCACACAGACGGTCTGTGTACACCTATATGATGTTGCTCAGTCTGCCAGGCATGCAGAAAAAGCTCCCAAACACGCGCCGCTTCTGGGGCGTTGGCGACGGCTTCAAGCGTTTTCGCATACGCTGACGGACCGACGATGAGCGACAACCTCGTCCGCACCCTTTGCGAGCTCTCACCATGGGGATGATCGTACCCGCCAGCGTGTGGATCTTGTACTCGGCCTTCTTCTTCCCCTCCAGGTCGGCCAGAAACCTGGCCATGCAGCGGATCCCGTTCCCGCACATCTCCGGCTGCGCGATTGCGTACAGGCAACGAGAGAAAGACGTGAAGACATCGGGGGGTTAGGTTGTCGTGTTCTGTTGCAATGCTCCTCTTGCGTATTTCCATTTACTGCTTTCGCTCCGGCAGCAGCAGCTACGGCAGCAGCAGTAGCGTATTGGTGAAGGATCGGGAATCGCATCTCAAGTCAGAAAAGGGTCAACCCGTACTGTTCACGCGCTCCGACACGGAGCAGCCCCGCCCCCCGGTTTGTCCTGGGTGAATCCTTCGTGCACATGCCCTGTACCAGCTCGGAAATCCACGGTCTACAACACAACGCCATCTGCGGTACAAGAGGGCATACGTGCGCGCATCTCCATTCAAAAGACAGATCTGTTCTCTAGTACTTTTTGTCAGAAACGCATCCAACTTCATGTGTTGCTTTCACTACGCTCGCCTCCGGGCCTGTTGACTGGTGTTGATTTATTCATTTCGCGACGGACCGCCCGTGGAGGGGTTATAAGCTGGTTCCCTTCCACACAATAATACAGTGGTCGGTGCGGTTTGGCATACCCCTGTAAAAGCTTCCACAACACCGCGTGGATCTCCTGCACCCCTACTACATAGCCGCCATTGAACTTGTAGCGACCTGCCAATTCACTTCTGACACTTTTATCATAGAGGCCGCTAAACCGGGACCACCACCACTACTGTCGTACCTCGGACCCGTCTGAGTTGATGATCCGCATCGAGTAGTCCATCTCGTCGGACCCCGGAAGGGCGAAGATAACGCCGTCTCCGCCGATGCCGTAACGTCTGTCCGGTCCGGCGTGGGTGGTAAGGGAGATACATCGATCGGCGATCGGTTGGGCTGGGGAAGAGGTGGTATAAACTGCTGTATTTTACTCGCTTGAGAATGGGGTCTCGAAGAGCGGCGGCGGCGCTGCTGCTGCCTAGCTGGGTGAGGGCGATACGGCTACTGGCAACAGCGGGTACGACGTAGACCTGAGAGGACCAGCTTGCGGAAGTTCGCGGTACTCAACACAGGTTCATGTGGGCATGCTGTGATGCTGTGGGCAAGATGTCTTTCTTTCTACGGGAACAACGTCACAGCGTCTTTGTTAACATAGGCAACTTGGGGTTTTGGGGGCTATTACGGTTGACGCACTTCAACATTAAGCTGTTGGACAAATGGTGCTCTATTACGCGTAGGTACACACCGCCGAGGTTGGTTCCTCGCACACGGTCTCTTCGATGTTCATGTTCCCTTGGTGCACACACGCATGTTTTCACGCACTCTCCAAACACACACACAGCTTTTTGCAGCATTCTTCCCACCTATCGCACAAGCTAGCGGACTCTTCAGCCGTGAGCATTGGCTCCGTTTCCTCTCTGTTGTCCACGAGAATGAAGTCGTTGCCCAGTCCCTGGTACTTGGAGAAGGGCACGAGCTTGGTGGCGCTCATCGCGACCGTAGATGCGCCGCATCTTGTAGCTGCTGATCTTGCCGCCGCCGGCCCCTGGCGTCCAAGGGCAGTGCCGGGGGCCACCACAAAAGCTGACGCATGGTGGGCGCCGAATGAAAGCAACGCTATCGTCGTCGACCACATGGTGCCTACGTCTAGGTAACGCTGTCGGTGGTGTGGTGACAGCGAGCAACAGGCAGATGGCTAGCCAAGCCAAGGCGAGCTTGGCCAAGTGACCAGGGGTGACGCAGATGCGACACGGTGGTGGGTTTCCAATCGTCCCCTGTTTCCCCGGCGGAGGCCTGATTCCCCCCCTCGGCGGCAAGAGGGCGGCCTCGGTGGCTCACACCTGCTCTCTCGTTTCACACAAGCGGAGGTGAGTCCTTCCCAGGAGGCATGGCCGTGGTGGACGGTTGGCTCAGTTGCGATGAATTCCATTGCTTTTAGCGTGGTAGAAAAGCTGGAGCTCTAGCTGTGTTGTTTTTTGGATCAAAAGTGGACTCGAGTGGTAGATTTTAGCTTTGTGTGGTTTGGGACGGTGTGAGGGTGTGTGTGTCTTTTGAGGCCATAGCCTCGCTCCAGCAACTGCCATTTCGGGCCGGTGGCAGGGGTATCATTGCCGTGTGGCGTTCCTGTGCTGGATGGCTTTTCGGAGATGGGAGCTGTGTCGGTTTGCTTCTCTGCCAGAACAGCAGTTTGCCAGTGATTGCTGATCGTGTTTTTATAGGCATTCTGGAGGATCAGGGTGGCTTCGTGTTCAGTGTCAGGTGCCACAGCGGTTCACGTCCGACACGAAACGTCGTGTAGGTCACACGTTGTGCTTCAGTCAGGCCCTCGTACGACCTACGATAGCGTGCCATGGGATGTAGCCCCCACGAGGGAGAGGTTTGCAATGTTGTCGCAATATTTTGGTCTGGTCTCACTACGGGCACTACAGCAGAAGCGAACCGCAACGCGTAACCCGCCTCCGCCTAGCCTATTGTAGTGTCGCCCGACCGGCAGCTGAGACCGACTGATCCAACGCTTGTATTGTGGTGCTGCGTCTTTCTCTTTGTGGGCTCACGTGTGCTGGGGCCTCACATTATGGTTTGCTTTGGCGGCCCGGCGTGGCGCGAACCGTGGAAAACGTTGACGCTGGCCTCCTCGCAGCACCATGCGCACTTCACCTCGCTCCGGTCAGGTGAGAATCTCCTCCCTGTTGTAGACCGCGACTGCTGCTGTGCAGTGGTAGAAGATACAGATTACCTTGCTTGGTGTTACCGTATTCCAATTTATATTATGCAGTGTGCACCTTGTTGTGCTATTTGATGTGATGCACACCAGCGATAGTCCGCTGTTCGCCTTCTCTGCGCGTGGTGCTGTCAAAAGACTGCTGTGGGCAAAAACTCGACAGAGATGTGTTGGTATGCGTGGAAAACGGTAATTTGAGACATCCAGCAGTCACCGGATACGGCATGTTGTACCAAGGTAAGATCGAGGTAGATAACCAGTTTACATGTGCCTTCCGGTTGCGCGAGTGGGTGACCGTTGCTGGTGTGATCCTGCAGGACCGTTTTGTGTATCGTTCGTGATCCAGAGGCAGTCTGCTGCAGTTAATGCCCTACGAAGGTGCCGCCGCGTCGCGTGCCGATTTGCAGAGAGACTGCCGTAACCCATGTTTGACTGCCGCCACTGGCTTCGAGCCCGTTCCTGTCGTTGTTGATGCCCAAGTGAATTGGGCGTTTCTTGTGCCTGCAAAGACACCGCTGCTGTTAGTTACACCCGCAAGCGATCTGCGCGGAAATATCGACCTGGCACCTCCCCAAAATCATATCAACCAAGCTTCCGCCCCCAGCAGGGTTACTCGGGTTAGGTTCCGTCGCGGGGGTTGAGGCAAGCGGCTGGAAACCTAACCCCCAGAGAGAACAAACGAATCGGAGGCTTGCAGGCACTAGCTTGTGTCTGTTAATGCCATGATGCTCCCGCTGGTCCAAGTGCCACGGTCCGCAGCAAGCAGCCCCGGTTTCCCCCCCGGGGCTCCGTGATGATATTTTTTTACCAGCGGTACCCAAAGCTTTTGAGACACTTCCAAGGTCACGCGATCAACATTCTAGGTAGAGGCCTCTCTACTGCCGTGGCTCTTCCATGTAGTACAGACTTGCACCAAAAAATTCTACTACTGATAACGGCTTCAAGTAACGATGGACACTTTTTCGGCGTGGTGCCGACCAAGGCTCTATAATAGGAAAGAGAGGGCGTGTACAACAACAGGTCGAGGTACTCCATTGTTTTGGATGGTGTTGTGGAAACATTTGTTAGCGTTCCAGATCGACCAATCCAAACAACCTCAGGCGCGTTCCTGTGATACTGAAGCTTCACACGCTAGCAGACACAAATAAAAAAACAGGCCGATTCGGAGATGCGGTTTGGCTGTGCGCCACGCCATCGTTGTCGACCAGCGTCAGTAATAGGCCCGTCGATCGAAGTGTTGGACGGGGGGTAGCTTTCATTCGTAAAATATTCCAAGGTACTTGGCATAGTACCAGAAGAAGCCGACTGCCCGAAGGTTATGCAGTATAGGGCATCGATGCCCTGAGGGGGAGCACGTATTCCACGCGAAACAGTTGGGCTATGGATGGGGGCATAAACAGGCTGGAAATCATGGGGATCCGCTGTTACGCCGATAGACGACCGCGCCAGCATGCCCGCTTACGGGTGCTTCGGCGTAGCAAACCACTTTTTATTTTATTTTTGTAGGCTACGCGCGTCTTCCAAGGCTTTCACCCAGTCGGGAGCGCTGCCTTGATTTCGCGGACAGTACACACCGAACATGGCGCAGCGCATCTGCATTTTTCTTCCAGGTCGACTGCTGTTTTCGCCAGACCAAACACATTTTGTGTACATTCGAAATCTCATCTTGGTAAAAAGGAAATGAAGCAGCGCTGCCTGGTGTTGGGCACTCCGCGCCTGCACAAGCCTCGAGCGTTTCCCGGACCTTTTGCTGCCGCGTGCAGCTCTCTCTGCGTGTAACAGCCTCACGACAGCAAGAACCCTTTCGATGTATACCGACTGACTGGCTGGCTCGATCACGTGCTTTGGAAGTAGGTTGCCATCACTTGCCGCTATGCATACGTGCTTTTGCGGTCGAGGCCTCTGGTTTCCGCTGGGTTTTGTCTCTTTTTCCGCGAAGGTTGGACCGCCACTATTTCCCGCTGCTGTAATTCGAAAGTTTTGCATTTTGTCCGCCTAGCAGACATCCCGCTGACCCCCCCCCCCCATCGCCTCTGAACTGTGTCCCCCTCTCTTAATTTCTTGTGCAGCCCGTGCGGCTGTACGTGAAGGGCGTCATGCTTGGCTTCAAGCGTGGCCTGCGGAACACGTACCACCACACCTCCCTCATCAAGATCCAGGCAAGCTAAACGGCACTAATTCGATTTCGTGTGTGATTTTCTCGTGTTGCATACCTCCCCTTTTCGCCTGACCATGTGTACAACCTGGTCGTGATCGTGTGCATGTGCGATGCATGACCATAAAGAGGGGGTGTGGTAGTTTGGTTCATGACCGTATGGTGCTGGAGTGGTCACGGCTGCCGATTGATCGGGATGGGTGCGCATGGCAATAATTATTTTCGAGATGAACAATGCCCCCTGTTATGTATATTGACTGATGATGAGGATTGATATCGAGTGGTTCTTGTGACTCATCGCGGACTTGAGTTTTTGCCGATTGCAAGGCCTCTCAATCAACCAACAATCACCCGATTGGAACAAGCGTGACGGTGATCATGCTCGCCCTTGCTTGTTTTGTTTTGTCAGGGCGTGGAGGACAAGGAGGCGTCCAACTTCTACCTCGGGAAGCGCATCGCTTACATCTACAAGGTCAGAGCAAAAGAGAAATCCAACCCACAGAGTGTCGTGGTGGTTATCCTGTCCGCGTGGCCCCACGGTGAAAGGTAGCGTTGAGTTTGCTTGTAGTGATTCCACGCGTTGCGATTTCCCCAATGTTTGCTCGCACTTTGGACTCCTCTGGTTTGAAGGGGTTGTTGCTGTCGAATCCGTCAGAGCTGGTAGAAGCCACGCACGTACAAGGCACGTGCAGATGACAGCGCGCTTCTTCCCTCTGAGATTTTTTCCGTGGTGGTTTATGTTTGATACGCCTTGGCGTGTGTCAAGGTCTGCTGTATGAGTGTCAGAAAAGGATGCCGAGGGGACAGCCGCGAATGGGTCGAATGCATGACCTCAATCTCCCGGCGTGTAGATGTTTCGCTGCAAGCGCCGGACGCTTATCGCGACACTATTTCAAGCAGCGTTTCCTCGCGACAGGCTCGCTCTAGACCGTGCCATGTGGTGCTATCACGAGCGACAGGAAGACGGCTCGCGTGCTAGATGAGTAGATACGGTTGGAGCGTTGTTGAACAGTTGCTTAAGGAAGGGTATTGATGCCCTTACCCTGATTCTCGTACACCGCTGCTGCTGCTGCTGCTGCTGCTGCTGCTGTGGTTGGTGGTTTGCAGGCGAAGACGCTCAAGAACGGGACCAAGTACCGCGTGGTGTGGGGCAAGGTGTGCCGCGGGCACGGTACCAACGGGGTTGTACGGGCCAAGTTCAGGACTAACCTCCCGGTAAGCAAGCAGCAAGCATGCTTCCTGAAGTTGCGTTGTCGGTGGCCTCTGTTTTATGCGTCAAGGGTTTTGTTTTTGGTTGTTGGTGGCACTCCTGTGGGATGTGGAGCATGTCTCGTTTGGAATTCCCCCGCCCCGGATGATATCTCTTGAACATCGCCCTCTTTGTCACCGGCAGAGCGGTGGAGCTTTGAGGTTCGGTCCGACGTATAGACCACTAGGACAGTGGTAGGCGCGTGAAGCTTCGCTTAAGTACCAGTCTTACAAAATGCGGAGGGTTGCGTTGGTAATTGGAGGAGGTGGAGGATCGTGCAGAGCTTTTTTGCAAGAAGAGACATGGCATGGCCACGGTTCTTGGCGCACTTTGAATATCGCCGGAAATCAAGGGTGCGAGTTTGCTCTTGTATTCGCTCGTACAGTGGTTGCGTGGGGGCCTTCGTGTTTGGTGCCCTCTCCTCTCCGTCGTGCCACCACCTGTCTCACCCCCCTCCCCCTCCCCGCTTCTCCCGTCGCAGCCCAAGGCAATCGGTGCTCCCGTGCGCGTGATGCTCTACCCATCCAAGATCTAACTCTGCAGTTTGGCGAGCTATCTTTTGTTTGGAAATGATCCCGGACGGCCAATTGTAGCCACGCCAGCGAGGCCTGTTGGCGATCAAAAGGCGTGCGGCACATCCGTCGAAGAGGGTAGTCAACTCCGGCGGTGTATCTCCGTGTCGTAGTCTTTTCCCAGCGCGGACATGGCGGCTAGGTTGTTGGAAGGGGTGGAGAGGCGGACGTACGTGAGCGCGGCGAAATGAACAAGCACACGCTGCCGAGTGCTGGCTGTTGTTTTATCGGTTGGCATCTGGTGACGGTGTTTTAGCGTCGAGGCTATGGTGCGTCCGTTCGGTGGGGGGTGAATATTAAGCTTCACGACCTACCCGCAGGTTAAACAAAAAAATTGAAACCCAAATTAATCACAAACCGCGTTTCAACAAAACACACCGTGTTTCCCACCTCCCTATCGTCCACGGAACGGTACAATACCGTGGTACAACCGTGGTGAACGCATACATAGAGAGGAACATGTGCTGGGACGACCGCATGCCTCGATTCGCTCCTCACCGGTGGTGGTTGCGTGTCCTTGTACGTATGCATTCGAGCGTCACGCTCGAGCCTGTTCACCGACCGGTACGAGTCACTAGCTTGACGAGTTCAATCATGAGCTCGGTGTGTTGCTCACACAGAGCAGAAGGGCTGTCGTACAAGGGGCACCTCGCAACATTCCGGCTGTCCATTAGATGGCTTGGTGGTAGTCAGCGTTTGTGCTTGTTTCTCCGCTGCCGGGAAAAAACCAGACCTCTATCGTGGTGACCTGTTTCGGTCTGATACCAGTATTGTTGCTGTGTTTGGGTTGCTCATCTTCGACGGCACCGAGTAAGACCCTCCCACCATTGTTCCGAGATGGGGAGAGCCAACGGAGGGTAATAAATGCAACACGCGTTCAACAAAGTCCGTGTTTGTACGCATTTGCAACAACACGTCCCGGACGCCCACACCTGTGGCCGAACTGCCGTAGACGCCACAAACACAAACCCATAGAACCGGTCCCCGCCCCCCTTGCGCGGAAATGTCGAGTGTTCGACAGGCGTTTGTTTTAGCAAAGAAAACTAATACAGACAACCGTAGAGCCCCTCATGGAGTTAGTGGGGTGTAAGTTAGTCTGCATCCTGATGTCATCACTGAGGGTACCCAAACGGAATGCACACAACGGCACCCACAGTCGTAGATGAGGAAAACTCCGTCAAGAAAATGAGGCTCGCCAAAGTTTCGCGAATTACAGCAGCTTACACCTCGGGGATGCTGTAGTCTATGCCGATGACGCCGGCGTCGTATCGAGGTCTGCCGAAGGACTGGCGAGAATGATGACCGTCATTGTGGAGGTGTTCGGGGAGTTCGGGCTGACGGTATCGGAGAAGAAGACGGAGACGCTCCTGATGCGCGCAAAGGAGAAGCACACAACAACACTACCGCCCCCCCGGCCGCCACCACTGATCATCGAGGCAGCAGGGCAGAGGTATGCCCAGACGCCTGAATTCCGGTACGTAATAGGTGGCCTCGTCAACGAACATGGCGACCTCACCCGCGAGCTCCATTACCGGAGCAGAACGGCGTGGGCATGCGTCACTGTCAGGAGATATGGCCAGGAGCTCTTCGACAGGCCGAAAGCACCGTTCCGACTGAAGACTCGCCTGCTCCAGGCCGAGGCGATGGAGGCACTGCTGTACGGCTGCATGACATGGGCCCGACGTCAAGACCAATACCGGACGTTGCGGACGATACACCACCGACTGCTCCTGCGAGTTATCGGTTACCAACGCAAGAAGGGCACCTATCGGCAGCTTTCCTACGCCCAGATTCTGAAGAGGGTAGGGTGCCAGAGCGTGGAAACCACTATCCGGCAACGGCGCCTACTGTTCGCGGGAGCGCTGGTAAGGCAGCCGGACGGACGACTCCCGAAACGGGTAATGCTTGGCGAACTGGTGGGGGGGGAGGGTCCAGGCAGGGGGAAACCGGAGCAAAACCGGCAGATGTGCCTGACGGACGACCTCAAGATGTTCGAAGCAGAGGAGCACGGGTCTACGGACGCCGAGCCATGCTTCTTCGGAGTCCCGGAAACAACTTGGATGGAAGCAGCGAAGGTGGATCGGGGGATACCGTGGCATATACAGGGGTACTGCAGGGAGCTAAGAAGTTCATGGATGGCCTCCTGGCATAAGAAGGAAGAGGAGGCTCGCCGACAACGATTGCTCAAACGAAACAAGAAGCCCGACAACAACACACGGCAACAACCACGGGGGGGGTGGGAGGGGTACAGCAGGCGGACGAGACGGCGAGGAAAGACAGGAAACGCGAAGAGACGGACCGAGTCGCGCGAAACACCGCGCCGAAATGAACCTTTTGCTTGACTTATGCCCGCCCCCCCCCCCCCCGGCGCTGCACCATTGCACCAACCCCCCGCGAGCGATGACGTGCATGGGCTGGCTCGAGTGGCCCGCTTGGTCTTGTGTTGTCTTGTGTTGTTCTGTTTGTTTGTTTGCTGTTGTCGCTAAGGCGTGTGTCTTTCTCTGTCTGTGTCTTTCTCTTTCCCTTTGCTTCTCTCCATCTGCTCTCTTCCTTTCTTTTTCTTTTCTTTTTACTTTCTTCTATCTTTTTCCAATCTAGGGTTACCTCGCATAGCGTGTAGAGAGGCGAGCGGAGTGGCCTAGACTATCTGTCGTTGATTTTCATTGGCTTGCGGACCCTTCAGGTCCATTTTACTTTCGTATACGTTTTTCTGGGTAAGTTAGCCTGTGACCACCGGAATCGACCCCGTCAAGTGTTAGACTAGTACAGACAGAAGAAGGTACTGAGCAGAGAGAACAGAACGGTTTTTAATGTGAAGACAGCAACAACAACAACAACAACAACACCTGGGGGCTAAAAAACACGACCCACGAACACAAACGCATCTTACTGCGGCGAATCTCTACTAAAACTCATGTCATTGTGACAACTGCTGTGTGTCCTCGTGCATCGGCTTTGACGTTTCTTATCTCCGGGCCCGTTCCGTACAGCAGTAGTAGCGCCGTACGAAACGGCGGTGTGATGCGTGGAACTTCGGGGGAATCCAGGGAACCTGCAATATCTGCGGGAAAGATCACCGCTGCGCAGGCGATTTCGGATCATGTGACACACGCTGCGCCGGATCCTCCGCTCGCAGAGCAAGAAAGAGGAAACTCGTGCGTGCACCTGTCTGTACGGTCAAAATAGCTTGGAAAGCTAGACAGGCATCACTAACTACTAACTAGGGTGAATGGCATCGGGACAACTGCAGTAAGTCGTGCGTGGATCTTTGCCAACACAAAAATGACTATGGATCCTGTCCAACTCGTCAACGCGGATCGGAGATTTGCGTGATAACGGTGTTCGACAGAGCGGGTTCGGCGCACGCTTCTTTTTCGGAGATCTTGCGACCGAGCAAGTCGGAGACACATTCCTTTCACATCAGCACCAGGGCCAGCCACAACACACACCGCACATTCTCCTTCTTGCAACCGCTTACCACTTTCCCAAGACGAGATACCGGGCCGACACCGGTGACAACGGTGCAGAGGACGTCGGAACAAGATAGCAAACACGAAGGTGAAGCTAGATATATCGGGTAGTGTAGGATCGCGAGCCCAAAACGTCCAAACGCAACCATCGCGATCGCAGCGACGGCAGCAGTCATTTTTTTCAGTTTTTTGGGAAAATGGTGTTGTTTGGCTTGGTACGGGGAGCCGATCCCGTAGAAGCAGCAGCAGCAGCAGCAGCAGCCGTAGGAAGGGAGTCGGTCGTTGTGACGTTGTGCGTGGGGGATATTTCTCTGTGGCGCTTTGCTTGCAGAACAGACGCTCACAGGAAGTACGTGTTGTAGGTATCCCGAGCCTTCTGTCAGAAGAAAGCAAGCAAACAATTAGCAGTTGTACAATCTAGCACACAGGATCGCCCTAGCTGGGATCGCCCGAGCCGGATCGTACAACGATGTCGCACGCACCCAGCAAAGCGAGGGCTACGCGCATCTACAGCCAGAAATAACCCAGCAAAAGTATTCAGCGAGATAGTGACAAAAACAGTGCTATTCGCGACTGTCCGTGGATCTTGTTGTCTGTGCTGCGCATTTTCCTTGTGACGCGGCGAAAGGTTACATAAATGCCGCTGTGTGCAGGGCATCGGAACGCGCTGTAACATCCTCCCTTGAAGACAGATCCCACTGCTTTAGCCCATTTCTCGTATCCTTTTGTGCTGCCCATCTACAAAACAACCGGCTTTTGTGGCCAGAGTCCACCGCGGCAACCGGCGGGCAGCTACGTCTTGTTCAGTGAAATCGAGGCCCAACTGGTCGTTACCTCAATCGGCGGCATCCGACAATCATTTGAGGGTTTCGTTCGAGGGAAATCTAGCTTACGTGGCCCCACCCACTGCAAATAATCCCACCACTACCCACCACACACGCCTTTGTGGGTGTACAGCAGCAGTAGTCTTGCTGTTGCTGTTGCTGGTCCTGTTGCTATTTCATGTTGTGCACGTTGCTGGAGCCTACTGCTGTAACATCCCGACATCCCGATGGGTTCAAACACTGTTGTTGTAGATTAGTCAAATAGAACCTGTTCGGAGTGGGGTGGCCTCCGGCTCATGAGAGCACAGAAGTGTCAACGGGATGCAGATGAAGAATGAAGGAAAAATAAATACACACACAGAAATACATATAAGACATGTTGGGTGGTAGCCACCAAGTACATACGCAAGTACGTACGCATGCCAACCTGCGCTGTAGCGAGAATGCGAGGATCAGACACCGAGCCGCAACCTCCCAAGATCTGAGTTGCTCAGGGTGAGACAGCTGTTTTTCGAGGGCAACTGGTGGACTAAAAAACATCTCAACATTTTTATCGCCAACCGCTCGTTAAAAACAGCTGAGTGAACAGCTGACTGCCTCTAGCGTTTGTATGTTCCAAAGCTCGGAAATGGCGATGAGTCAGCCGCGCACTGAATGACGTTTCCGCCCGAACAGCCCACCGGCACATGACCTGGACCCCCTTCGCTGACTGAATTCCCGCAGACTAACACGGTGAATATACCATTTCGGACCAAGTCACAAGCACCACTACTGCCGCTGGATTGCATTCAAACTTGCGCGAACAGCCTGTCTGTGTGTCCACCTCCCTCCATGCCTTTCAAACCCACTCGCATATGTCCCACCATTCATTGGCCGTGAAGGTGCTCTTCCATCTTCTTGTTCATCATTCGTTGTGGATCCACAGGTATCACGAGAAGATTCCGCGTCGTCTCCAGTACCAATCAATGCTTGTAGTCTTAGTCTAGCAACTGGTGCGAAGTCTAGGAGCCTGAAATCAAACCATTGGACTACCGAAATTATGCGTGTTATGGCACCGGGGTGCGGACGGTTCTTACACCGTTCCCATGCATCTTGGTTTTTTATCGTACCCCGGTCAAGCCATAGCACCGCCGTACCAGTGCCAAATTGCAATGATATCATCTCGTATGCATATGTAGAGTTCCAACGTACCCCCGGTACGACGACACCGATGGGTGCGATACGGAAGAAACCATAGTGGCCATTTTACGGTGCTGAGTGAACGCACCCATCCCCGGTGCGATGACATCGATTGGTGCGATACTCAAGAAACGAACATAGGCGTTTCCCTGGTACAAGTAGGGCAGCTTTGAGGTACAGGATCCGGTACCAAAACACACACACACACACATACACACACACACACACACACACACACACACAGCCGTCAGTAGAGCAAGCACACACCGGAGTCCGCGAAGTACGTATGTGCATACGGCAAATTACGAAATTACGGACCACAATCACGACAAAGAAAGGCAGCGAAATTACACGCAAGGCCGCGCAAACCGCAAATTCGAGTCGCGCAGCACACACACAACAACCACGCACACTTTTCATTGCGCCATGTAAGAGGGTGCAGGCGCCGAGGGTACTTCCTCACAGACCAGTGCTAGAGGTGCTGCTGCTGCTGCTGTAGCTGTCGGATCACCGTAGAAAAAAGCTCGAATCATTTTTACGCGCACCCCGCGTCGGTACGATAGACGTACATACTGAAAGGAATTGGTACCTACCGACCTCTCAGCCGTTCGCCACATTTTACAGTTGGACATGTGGCCCGGAGGGTATCGGTACCTTGCCGAAGAACGCCAAAGAACGCAAATTTACGTCCTACGCAGGTTCGATATCGTTGGTGTGGCACCGCGTGCGGAAATGCAATTAAATCATGCCGTTCTTTGATATATTTTTTGCAGACCCTGGTGCCATAACACCGATGGGTGGGTGCGAAATCAACGATGGGCGCCATAACACGCACAAAATGCGGTAATCACATCAGGGCAGGGGGTTTAGTCTGCGCAAATACTCTCCACGCCGCCGCCTCGAAATATTGACCAGCACGAGGATGTGCTCAGGTAGGACCACGAGGACGCGATCATCACATGCGCCTCGCGGTCACGACATATGGACGACCCCGTTTGTTCCCCGGAGGAGGGTAGGGAAGGCGATGCGGACGTCTTGTGTGCTGTTGGAAGGGACCGTCTGGTGATGATGCCGTGCGCGACCGTCCCGCCTACTTCCTGAAGTGAGCTGTTCACCGCTGAACTCCGTCCCGCCCGCCCCAACTGTCGACGCTCCAGCCTTTCACCAGAGACGCACAGCAGCAGCAACAGCGGCAGCAGCAGGATCATCATGTCGTCGCCGAACCAGAACGAGGACTTCGCGGCGGGTGGGGCCGGAGCAACCGTGGCCATCAACACCGCCGCCGGTGCCGCCAGCTCCGCGCACTGCCCGGGGGGCCCGTCTCTACTACCCGACGTTGTCGCCGGAGGTATGGCGGCGACTCCCGCCCCGCCGCTCCCGGGGTCGCTGCAGTCAGGCCTGGGGCACCACAAAGCTTGGGCGGCCGGCGGGGGCCTGGGGTTGGGACCAGGGGCCGGGCTAACGGGAGGCTACTGTGGGTGAGCCTTGTGGGTGTGGAACCGGGTGCCATGCGCATGTCGTATTACACGATAGGCGACTGTATGGTTTCTGCTGAAATTCTGTGTCGTTGTACGCCGGGGCGGGTATGCACATGGTGGGTGTTGATGTTGTTTGTTCTAGGTGGTTGCGGTGGGTTGAAGGTGGCGTTATACGTGGAAGGTCTACGTGTGCCCCAAGGAGGACCTCTCCATCAGCAATGGACATCATCAGGCGCTAAGGGTAAAAAAAAAAAACTGTCCTACGAGCGACACAGCCGTCAAGGGCTCAGGTTTTCGTTTGTCCAGAAAGCAGCAACCCCGACGTGCATCGTGCTGGAGTATGATACGCGTCTAACCCCCCACCCTCCCCCTGCCGCTAAACGATTCGGTGATTTCGAAGAGGCGGGGCACCAGCAGTCCAGGAAGCCGAGCCATTTTCTCAACCCTGGAACGACTGTCTCCTTCAGGGGTAAGCTAGGCACCAAACTCTTGGCTCGCGGATGCCACCTTGTCGTTTCGACGGTGGTGCTTTGTTGCGCCTGCTTTTTCTGGGGGGGGCTCGTTTTCTCTTCGCTCACAACGCCTCTTTCTATCACCTGTTGGGGCCGGTTGGAAGCGTTTCGTGCACGACTGGCTGCATGTCTCCCTCCTTTTGTTTTAGGGTATTGTTCGACGTATTGATCTCGCCCCCCCCCCCTCCCCCCTTTTAATCCAACGCGGCAGACCCATTGCTACCAATCAGCAAGACTTGCCCTCGTTGCTAGGGATAGACGGCGTGGGCAATAGCGGCGGTGTCGGTGGAGGGCCGCATGTCACGGCGGCCATGACGTCTGGGCCCTCTTCGTCTTCTCTGGCCTCGTATGCCTCCTCCTCTTACCCCGGGATGGAGCTGGGCTGGGCGCAGCAGCAGCAGCAGCAGCAGCAGCAGCAGGCTTTGCCGCCGCAGCGGCAGCAGGAACAGCAAGGTTTTTACGAGGCGTTGGCGGCAGCGGGAGGGGCTGGCGCTCCTTTCTTTGCTTTTCCTCCTGCGGCCACGGCATCCCACGACGCCCCTTTGGCTGCTGCGGCGGCTGCGGCGGCCGTACAGGGGACCATGCTGCAGCAGGGGGGTGTAGCCGCTGACGGTGGCGTGTCCGCCGCCAGGAACTTCTTGCTGCAGCAGCAGCAACAGCAGCAGCAGCAGCTGTTGCAGAAGCAGCAGCTCCTGCAGACGCAGCTGTTGCAGAAGCAGCTCCTGCAGAAGCAGCAGGAGCAGCAGTTCCTGCAGCTCCGGTCCCAGCAGCAGCAGCAGCAAGGCCAGCAGCAGGAACAGCTGCAGCAGCAGCTGCAGCACCCGCAACAACAACACGTGGCGGCGTGGGAAGACGGCGAATCTGCCGGCGAGGACGGGACGTCATCGTGGAATAGCGGCAACAGCATCGATGACCCCCCGTGAGAAAACGAGACAGCCGCGCTCTCGCGCGCGGCGCGCTTGCTGTTAAAAACCCATGCGCAATGACCCCCGTCCCGCTGCTTGCGTATTTAGAAGAAGATCTACCTACAGAACCCCCCGAGGGTGTGGACATATCCTCTTTTCGAAACCGTCGTGATGAACTACTATACACACAGATAGCACTCCGGGCCGGACCGACATAGAGTGGGAATGCCATGAGAACGAAATTGTCGCGGTTTCCGCACAGTCACTGAAAGTTTCCCGACTGACGCTCCCCCTCGCCCTTCTCCTCGCCCCCCCCCCTCCCCCCCGTGTTCTTTTTCCATCGTGTTTCCACCTTAAATCAGAGAGGTGGACAACAAAGTCCTTACCCCGGAAGAAAGGCTAGAGCGCAACAGGATTAGGAACAGAGACCACTCCCGCAGGTCTCGCCAGCGCAAGAAAGCCTTGGTGGAAGGCATGAAGAACCAGGTCAGTACATGTTTTTTTTTTATTATTACGCGGGTGTTGTTGTGCGCGTTCCGGCACTATAATTCCTTACCAGAATCATTACCATGCGGTAGGCTTGAGTGCCTACAACGTGGTAAAGGTTCTTGTGTGCGTGCGTGCGTAAAAGAAGACGGAAAAATTGCTGCAGAGCTACTGTAGATTGCTCGTATCGGGTGTGTGTACTTCGTCCAGTTTGTTTCGTCTCCGCTGTTTCTCTCCGTGCCTGTGTATACTGTTAGAGGCGACTGCGGGTATTGCGTTGACCGCCCCCAACAGGTGGGCTCATGGAAAGACGTCACTCTTAGCAGGAAGAACAGCGCCAAACCGCCTTCTAGTTCGCGGAGCCCGCCGATATACATAGACTTGTCTTGCTGTTGCGATTTTCCTGCGTCACTTTTACCATGCTCTCGCCGCCGTGCCTGTCCGCAGGTGACGGAGCTGGGAGCGTACCGCATGCTCGTGGAGCAAGCGCACGACCTCATCTCGGCCCACACGACGGACGACCGCACTGTGTTCCTGTACGCTTCGAACGCCTTCCAGCGGGTCCTGGGAATCAGCACCGAGGTCAGGGTCTGTGATGTGGATTCCGCGGCTACGCTATTATTGTAGCCGTGGAAAGAAAGTCGGGATAGTTGGGCCTCATGTTTCCTTTCCTGCGCTAGAACGGGAGGTGGGGTCGAAGGAATGGTACAGGGGTGTCGTGTGTATTGCTCAATGTGTACCGGGAAGCTGATCGGCGTTGTTGGATGGGAGCGCCGCCCTCAAGCGGCTGGCACTTCGTCGTTTCTTGGAACTACGTCACTCTCAGTCGATCAACCGTCGGTACCGTATTTGGTCTCATTTGACACGGAAGAGAGAAGGGGTGATGGCCGGGAGAGGTGCGCCTGATGTCCGCCGCTGCACGGATGACACATTTTGCACCAAGGCGTATCCTGGTCCATTCATGAAACAAGTCCAGAAGCAGACTGACATGGTGTCCTTGTCACCCGGTTAGGCGACACTGCCGCGGCTGCTGCAGCAAGAAAGCACCTACCCATGCTCACACGGAGAATACTCCCGCTGGTGCCCCCCCCCCCCCCCCCCCCCGCAGGACCTCCTTGGGGTTCAACTCATCCACCTCGTCCATCCCGACGACGCTGGGAGGGTAACCGAGGCGCTTCCTCCCGCCCTCCTGTGCAACCAGGTTACCCAGGTGAGCCACATTTTTTGCAGCAAGTGTGTGGTAAGGCTTGGAACGCCCCACGCTGTGTTCCAGCATAACGGACGGCGAAAACCGTTTCGTACCTATACGACGAACAAAGCGTCCCCCCTCGTTGCGTCCTCGCTTACCGGGGATGCATTTTTTTGCACCGCGTGCATCGACTCCACCAAGTCCTCCATCCCTGCTCGCCCTACAAACAAACTCGAAGGTTGTGGTGTACCGCTTGAGGCACCAGCAGCAAGAGTTCACGGTGGAGAGTTCTTTCCGAGTGGTCCCGACGAAGCTCGTGGCGATCACGAGGGTCGGCGGGCCCGGCGTGGCTATCCTTCCTTGACGCGGCGACGACGCCATCCCCGAAGGGGGGGCGGTGGGCGAGGATAGAGAAAAATGGGGGTTACGCAACCGGAAGGGGGGGGAGGGGTAGGTGCAACGGGTGGGTGTGTGGGAGAGAAGAAGTGCAGGCACTAAGGAGGTCAGGCTGTGCCGACAAAAATGGCTGTCTCATCGCCGGCAGAGAGAGGTAGCGGCCGCGTTGCCAGAACAGGAGAAAGAAGCGCAGCGAGTGTCGGTGGTGTTCCTGCCGTCGGCTGTGCTGCAACTGCCCTTACGAATGCGCATGCCCACGGCCTCTTACGTTCCATCGTTGTGCACATCGATGGTCTTACCTTCCCGTGCGTCAACTCTTCAACTTATTGCGGGGGAGTTCGTGTGTACCCCCGCCGTTTGCGGAGCGGCATGTATGTCGGAAATGCCCGGGATACCTAGCTTACGGTCCAATTTCCGGTCGCGAAGGGCATTTTTTTTTATGGCCGGGGGTAAGGGGTCTGAGAAGTTTTTTTCGGCGTGTCTTGGCGTCACGGCTGACTTTTCAGTGCTGCAACGAGCGAGTGCGTTTGTACAAAAACGGTGTAGAAGACACCGTGTTAGATGTGGCGGCCGTAGCTTGTGCCTCCTGGTTCATGGTTTTCCTTCATAAGTCCAATAACGAGAGAGACAGACGATATGGCACGGTTTCTCGTCCAGTGATTCAAGGGTTAAAGTCATCGGTCGAACACCGATATCATAATGTTGATTTACATTTTTTTTTTGTTCTGTTATATGGTGTTTAATATTGTTGGTGTTGTGGGTGGGTGGGGTTTTCTTCGTCGCGGGGTAAAAAAAACACGAATGTGATATACAAACGTGTGGTGCGTGGTACCTTGGCCGTAATTTACTTCACGATGACTAGAACATCCAATAGAAGAGGTAGTGTGGCTGTTTCCTTTCTTCACCGTGCTCCAGCGTCGAAAGTCTGTAGACTAGAGGTACGTGTCACTCTTTTGCTTCAACTCGTTTCTCGACAAGACATGTAGAACGACGGTTGTTGTGTGTGTGTGGCGCAATGGGTATGGTTTTTTACCATCACGCGGGAGGGTTCTCCAGCTGTCTGTGTGGGAAGAATGGTGCGTGAAGGTTTTTCTTTACTTCTTCTTTCTTTCGTGAACTTGAGTGGTTGCTTCATTAGGCCGAGGACAGGGGGTTGACTTGGGTAGTGTCGAGCTTCGGTCGTGCTTGACGTTCTTCCTCTTGTTCTGCGAGAACAGCACGGATGACTTTCTTGGAGGCCGCTGTTGCCTTTTTCGGTCTTTAGACAGCGTACCGATCTTCTTTTTCGTTTTTTAATATGTAGGGTCTCAAACAACAGAGATACTATATATAATTGTGATATGGGTGTGTTTATTTTTATTTACTATTTTTCAGGTTTGTAATTGTGATATGGGTGTGTTAATTTTTATTAGTCATTTTTCAGGTTTGTGACATGGGTGTGTTTTTTATTGTTTATTTTTCTGGTTTGGGGAGTACATATCGCCTGCCAAACGTCCGGCGTCGACCATGGACTCCAACAGTTCTGCAGTTCAATAGGGCGATAGGGACCCTACTTTTTCGTACCAAAATTAATGGGATTTCGTCTATTAGGGAAGCTAAACTTACTACCAAAATTATAAATGGATACCAAATTTCGAAGTACAAATAGAACTATTTGTACCGATACTATTAAAGCAGACCAATCAATACTGTGTATTTTTTTTAGCTCGGGTGATCATCGATCGAACACACACGTGTTTCACACGGCGGGTCCGAGCAGTCTTTAGGTGTACTAGCTTTTTGAGGCGAGACGGGGTAGTACTGCTAGTGGGTGTATCGCCTTGGCAACGAATCGGAGAGTAGTGCGCGTACGGTGCGCTGCATTCTTCACACGGGGGTGCACGCGTGAGCGTGGCCCACGTGGGTTCCTCTTCTCAATGATTTTTGAGTTCCATGACACTCTGTTGCGTGTTAATTGTACCCGGGGTAATACCGACTAGTAGTGCTAATGTAATGGCGTTATGTATTTTGTAGAGTACAAAGAGTTTCGGGCAAAAGCGCACGTGCCAGTAGGTGGCGTGGTGATGGAACGAGGCGGGAGGGAATTATTGTGCTAGCGGGCGATTTGATCAACGTAGTATCTATAATAATAGTCCCCGGCGCCATACATAATACTCACTCGAAGGGTGATGGGGGTGACGGCGATCGATTGTTTCTGTTTTCGTCGTGAGAATGTTTGTTGGTTGGACGGATAAAGAACGGGGCTTGCTTGCAGACTCCTTCGATTCCCCGTGTTCCGAGCAGCAACGACTCCGCCCAGAGGAGTAACTTGAAGGAGGCTTGTTCTCGTTGTAGCAGCTCTTGCCGTTCGACTCAAGTGCCTTCATTTTCGTCCGGGGACAGATTAGATGCAGGTTTTGCGTCATCTGAGCCGGCGGCGGGGGGTGGTCCTTACCCTACGTTGCAAAGCAAGCACGCGTTTTTTGCGTGTTGCCTCGTCTCGTCTCGTCTCGTCTCGTCTTGTCTCGTCTTGTTGTTGTCATTGAGTAGTTGTGGATTGTCTTGCTTGTCGTGTCGTTGTATTTAGTGCCATTGTCGTTGTTGTGCCTATTACGTGTCAGTCCATGCCATGCTATCCGTCCAGCATGCATGCTTGTTTTTCAAGCAGGGGCGGAGCATTTCATGATAGTACTACGTGTGTTCGTTTGCACGAAGTCTTCGTTTTTTTTATTCGGAGTGGGTGGGATGGAAAGGGAGGTGGGAGAAGCCGTCATCATCAAACGAAAACAACACACACACGCATTGTTCTTGCATAATACTTCGATGTACTATATAATAACGCACCACATAATTTTGGTAGTTCAACTTCCGGTGTTTGGAGACATGACTGACTGGGGAACGAACTATGTAGTTGCACTATTGTGAGGCAATTTTCCGTAGCCAGCCCTGGTCTGCCTGTTGTTTTTGGTGGGTCTCTGTGGAAGCTGTAGTTTTGTGTCTTTGCGAGTGTCATGGGGAATTGCAAGAGAGCGCCTTTTCTGTACTGCACATGTTCGCTTTCGTTTGTTTGTGACAACGATGAAGATATTCAAATAGCGTGCATAGACTAAATGGAAATGTGTTTTTTTCTTTAATTAACTAGGTTTTGGGTTTATTTGTAAATTATTAGTTAATTTTTGGGTTTGGCGATGTGATTGATTCTTTACCCAGCCAGGTGAACAAATATTGCAAATGATACGGTATAAAATGAGAAGTTTTTGGACTCCTTGCAGCCCGTGGACCAACTAACCGGGGGTCACCTCCAGTGGGGAGGGGCAGTTTACGCTACCCCTTGATGATTCTGCCCCTTGGGAGTGGCAGCTCCCGCAATGTCGCAGTAGAAGTATTTCCCTAGAACTGATAGCGTTCAGATCCTTACTGTACCCAGATTCGGAAACACTATTGTACTCCCGCCCTGGAAGTTAGTATATCCAGGTAGAAACCCCACGAAACGACTGAGTGAATCAAATCAAGACTTCAAAAAATGATGAACCGAAGAAAGATTGATGACCCCCAAAACACAACAATCCCATACCTACCTCTGCTCTTTTATACGTGCTGCAAGAGTCCTACTGTATTCCGTAAAACTTAAGCTACGCAGGCGTCAAACGAGCGCTTCATTAGGTAACCCTGTGGCAGCGCGTACAGAGTCGTTTATGAACAAACTCCGTATGGGATAGGTGGACGCCCGAGTCACATGTCTCTCGTCGACATCCATGGCAGCACGCATTCGAGCCATACACGGGTGGCCAAAGGGAGGTTGTAAGTGGTGCCCAACCTCCCCGGGGTCAGGTTGGGACGTTGGGGATCGACCTTGGACAACATGTAGTCTACGCTGCCCGTCCCCCCTATTGAATGGACCAACGTCGCAATCTGTGATGCGGGGCTAGCTTCATATGTCGGCGTACAACCTGACCCTAGAGAGGTTGTGGGGAGGTTGTGCACCAGATACAACCTGCTTTGGCCACCCGTGTAGGATAGTTAGTGTGGTTGACTCTCCCAACAGCGAGAAGTAAGTAGACACACAATCTACGACAGTTTCGAGCATTCAATACCACAAGAGGCGGAGAAATGAATGGCACCCTCCCTGGACCGATTTCCAAAAAGAAAGCTCGATTGCTCCACAATCAAGCGGGTGTGGAAAGAAGAGCCGAAGTCCACGGAAAATCCTCCTCCACGAGATGTTTTCCACAACCACCCACAACCACCACTTTTCGTGTTGGCACAAGCTTGATTGTTGAGCAATCGAGCTTTGAAAATCGGTCTAGGGGAGGCATCTCTCCACCTCTTCAGCGTGTCGTTGTTAGACGAAAGACTCGAAGGGCAAATGTGAGCGGTGCCTTAGGCAGTGAACTCAACGGCCGTGACGACGCACATACAGCAGTCATCCCTCGGTTAACTTTTTTAAGGACACGCCCCCGGTTAAGGACAAACGTTTTTTCACAGGCATCGTGGCTCGCAGAATGTACAACATGAGGAGGAGTATCAACCTTGAGGACATTTCCCCGGCTAAAGGACGCCTGTTTAAACGAAAAAACTGTGTGTGTCCTTAACCGAGGCACGACTGTATCAGCACGTCGACTGGAATGGTCGCCGAAGAGCCGCATGAAAGTAAGTCAGTGTTCCCGCGGGGGGTGGTCGGTGGGGGGTAAAAACATTCGACGCTCAAGGGTGCACAAGGCCCAGAAGGCCATGGTAAGCTTAAAAATGGGCCACCGCACCGTTCGCCCAGTCTTATCGCGAGCTTGGCAGCGCCAAGCAGTTGGCGAAACCACCATCTAGTGCTTTTGCCTACCTGCAAATGAAGACGCCCCGGCATTGCAAACCGTGTGAGCCACACCAAGATGACGCGATGCATTGGCGCGACACACCTACCTGCGTTGTCCACGCACGCATCAACACGTGGAACGAAAGCCGAGATAGGTTCATCGTTATCAAGACACGCTGCACGCCCACCGGTAGGGCGCGTGAAACGAAAGATAACGGAAAGCGGGATCACAAACCGGTTCGCTTCTCCTATTCCCAACCAGAGTGGGACTAACTCTCAACCTTACTCGCCAAAAATATTCGAGTTTCTCCCGAACATGCAGCAGCATCACCGATGGCACACACACGCGGGAAGAACCATGCGACGGTCCTGTCGCCGGTACGTAATAGGTGTCCCTGTTACCTTCGGAACCTGACTCGAACGAGCCAAAACCGCGGGTGGGTAGGTTCCACCGGTCCGGAGACCGGCGAACGATTGTGCACGTGCAGAAACCAGCGTAGGCCGCCGGGCAGTGGAAGGCGCCAGATTCTGTTGGCTCGCGCTTGGTACACCCATGAGCAACGGCAGGACGGGCCTCACAAGCGGCAGCGGCGGGGCGGTGTCCGAGTCGACACTAATTCGGTCGGGTTCAGAGAAATTCGGCCCGAAGCTCCAGGGTGTGAGGACACGTTGTTGGCGTTGTCCTCAACAAGGAGGGTGGTCGGACGGAAACCAGGGGGTGACGGCTGAGGCTACCGTTGAACCTGTGGGGAGCCGACGGTGGTTGGAGGCAAACCCTGAAAGACCCGAAATCTCGAGGGAACTAGGGCAACACGCGGGGCAATCATTGAAAATCGATTTAGAAGGCTGGTTTAGCCCACCCTAGACAAAAACAACTGGGGATGATGACTCGAGCACACCTGTGTAAGCCAACATCAGCAGGTGGGCGAGAAGCACTATACCCGCAAGAGAGGAGCTATCACGGCGTTCCGAGTATTTCCAAATAAGACCGAGAGAGGTGAACAAAAGGTTAGATCCGAGGTAGTACCGAAACCAATCCCGTGACAAGGTTTGGTCGGCCGTTCGTGCAGAATATATATACGAATGGATCAGCCATCGATGGCACTTCAGCACCGAGGTCGTCGTCGTTAAAGGCAGGACCAGACACCCAACCATCAGGTATCGGCGGAATTGGCACTACGAGCAAGGGTTGCGGAAGTGATACCCAGAACAACAAAACCTCGAACCACCAGCCAATGGCACATGTTTACGGCCATGACGAAATATCCTCCCGGTGTCTGTAGCTAGTCGCGTGTACGGCCTTCGTTATCACCTTCCGCTGTCGTGTGTCTCGGCGTGTTGATGCCCGACCAAAGCAACACGAATTGGTGCGTGGCCTCGACGTGCCCAATTGTTATTCCTCGGCTCCATTGTGGAAAAGAGGGAATCGTCCTCGACAGACGTTGGGGAGATTGTACCTTTATGAAGGTGGTCTCCACAGGCCATCCATATGTTCACAGCCCATTAACAAGTTTGCTCAACCGTTCAACCACCGCTCCAACTTCTCCGCAGTCCCGCGTCGGTTGTTACCGTAGCTTAGCTGTTGCTACCGACGGCTTTATTTCCGGAGATAGATGCTATTGCAGTGTCCTCGTCGAAGCTGCTTATCACCAAGAGTGTCACGTGGGCTTCTCCGGAGCTCCCCTGCCGGCCGCTTCGACCGCAGTTGCAGCTGTTGCCGCCGATCACTGACGTTGTGAATCTACTCGTCGTACATGGGGGGTTGGCGTTGCGAGCGACCTTGGAGGTGAATTCGTCGAAGCTGACCATGCCTTCGACCACCGCTTCAGCTTCTCCGCAGCCCCGCCGCCGTTGCTACCGTAGCTATAGCTGCCGCTAGCTGCTGCTGCCGACGGCTTCATTTCCGGAGATGGTATTGCAGTGTCCTCGTCGAAGCTACTCATCACCAAGACCGTCACGTTCGCTTCTTCTCCGGAACACCCCCGCCAGCCGCTACCGCAGCTGCAGCTGCCGTTGCCGACCACACGACTCCGAAAATAAGAAGGTCGGTAGCAGCAGATGAAGGTACGTACGTATCATGAAAGTCGTTGGGAAAGCCCAGGTAGAGCAGCTTCGACTCTGTACACCAGAGTATCATCTCCGCTGATGAAGTGGGTCGGCGACGGCAGCAAGAACAACAACAGCGGTAAGGGCAGCAACTGGAAGAGCAGCTTCGTCGTGGCCTTTGTCAGGAGATCTGGGACACCGCTGGTCGGGACAAGATGACTGCGCTATTGGTAGCTGGTGGTGGCTCTCGTGCCAGTTCTACCATCGCCGGCGGTGGCCGAGGGAGCAAGGGACTTGGACCTCGTCTTATCCTTGCGCTTTCTTGTCGCATCCGTACTGCCGCCGGTGCTACCGGTGTCGCGGTGTGCTGCCGGTGCTATTTTTGTCGTGGGTGCTGTTGGTGTCATCGGTGCTATACCGCTGCTGCCGGTACTATGCCGCCTGGTGAATGAAAAGCGTCGAGGACTCTCGCAAAGCCACTGCCGCCACAGCGGCCGCCAGAGACGGCATCCACCGGAGACGGCATCCATACCGACGGGAGCGCCATCGGCGGGTGCTTGTCCCCCCCGCTTCCACGGGGGCTGCCGTCCTGCGACGCGGACGGTGCAGGAGGCGGAGGGGTTTAGAAGATGCGAGAAAGAGAGATAGCATGCCCAAAGACGAAGGCGACATAGCCAGGGAGGGACAACGCAGCGGCATGATGAAGCGCACGGCAAACGGAAGCCTGATGCGTGTTCTGGATCTATCTGCCAAACAAAGTGCAACTCGTCTATTATTGTACTGTACAACGCAGCAGCATCCCTCTTTCGAGGGAGAAGGACAATAAGTCACTCAGTCACGTACCGTTAACCGGTGTGGCGCTAAGAATACCTCATCCTACTACTGTCTTGACGAGCAACCCTTCATGTTGATGTGTAAAATGTGCAAGTTCACCATGCATCAAGTGGGATATTTCGCACAAAACTTTTCTTCTCCCAACTTTTCTCCGTATTGTTTCGAACGGTAGATATTGTTGCATCTTTAAAAACAACATTGAGAAGCCCCCGGATCGGTCGATTGATTGATTGTCATTGAAAATCTTATCTTTCTTTTCGCCGACCTTACTTAGGCTTAGCTTGAGTGAGAGGACATGTGACACGGAACCAAGACGAAAAGCCTATGTACCTTTTTTTTGAAACCCAAACACGCATTTTTGCATGTAATATTTCGATCTACTCTATACTATCTAAGGCAAAGAGGCGGATGCCAAAATCAACTGAGAGAGAGATGGTCGGAGAGACCTCGACTAGACGGTTCCAACGCCGCTTTCTGCACGACGCCACTGTTTCTGCTGCAGAGGAATCAAGCTTTGAAAACCGTTCCAGCCAGGTGGTCGAACCTGGTTCCTCCATATAATAACAGGGTGCGCGGTACCCTTGTATCTTTCTTTGTGCGACCACAACAAAAACTACGGAATGCTCTCGACCCTCGACAAAAATCCAGCCGCGTCACTCTCTTCCCTATATCTCTGGGGTCGCTTCAACTAGATAAGGGTGTGTGTGCTGAAACACAGGCAGCGCGTACGTGCAACCATTCTTGCAACCATTGTGGGCGAACCGCCGCTCTCGCTGCGTTTGAATCCAACACATTTTTTTTTGAAAGAAGAGTGTTCCTCAACAAGCACCTCCTCCAAGAGAGAGACTGCGGTACACCTCCTCACAGCAGACTTTAGGAACAAGCCACAGGCCAAGTTCATTTTGTGTTGAATCTCGCTGAGTCTTTGTGCTCCGCCCTCTCTGTGCTTGTGCGAGGCGGCGCAGACAATATGTGCTTCTTGCTGTTCTTCGGAGACTCACTGCCGCCTTCTTGAGTCGAACTCCGGGGCAGATCCAACCATCCCCCCCTCCATACCGTGATCGAACTTTTTTTTTCCGCCCTTCGACGCTCCGCGGGTCTTTTCCGGACATCGAACACAACGCCCCGGCTCTTTTCCAGCTGCTGCTCTTTTTCCACACAACCAGACAACCAGACCCCCGCTGCGGAAAGACGAAACGGCCGGGGTGCTTACATAGTCGACTCGATCGAAGCGAGCGTATCCAAGCAAAAGCCGTTTCAACCTCCGTGGACACAGCAACAGCAGCAGCTGCTGCTGCAATGGCGTATCCATTAGGAGGAGCAGCAGAAGCGGTTCACGACGTGGGGTTAGACGTCACCGCTACTGCCGCTACCCCACAGCAGCAGCAGCAGCAGCAGCAGCTGCAGTCACACACGACAACAACAACCGCTGCCGCGGTTGCATCGGATGGGCCTTCTCTGGCCGAGGGGGCTGCTGCTGCGCCGGTGTCGACAGCGGTGGCCGCTGCTGTTTCCCTGCAGCAACAGCAGCAGCAGCAGCCGCCGCCGTCCCTCCCGCCACCGCCGGCGGCACTGCCTCCGGTCCCCATCGACGTCTCCAACGACAACGGCAGCGCTGCTGTTGCAGCACCGGCATCGTCGACGTCGCCCGCCGGGGACCCCCAGCAGCTCTATTCTCCCTCCGGAAGGAAGCGCAAGCAGCGGACGTCGGGGGTGTGGAAGTACTTCGAGCAGTTCCCGCCCGTGGCACCGAAGGGCCGGAACGTGCGCTGCACCGTGCTGGTGGAGGTTCCAGCCGACCCTGCCTTGGGGTTGCCGCAACGCACGGTCAGGTGCGTGCGCGTACAGCAGTAGCTATGTAGCGCAGCACAGCCGACAATGCATGATGATGAGTCGAGCCAAAGGACAACAACAGCAGCAGTCGTGCATAACGCACACGCGCGTGCGGGTGCGTTGTGGGATACATATACTACACGGCTGCGTGCGTATTAGATCCTTGACATTCAACAACCCATGTAGTCTGCAAGTATGCATACAGCAGTAGCTGCCTGACTGCTAAGGGCGATCACGTTTCCCACGGCAGATACCGCCCCCCTACAGCAGTACACACCAATACTGGATCCATTTGTGTAAACATTTTTGACCGTCCTGGCACAGGACTCCCTGCTGCCTGCCTATCAGACAACGTGTGATTCATTTCTTGCTCTGGGCTCAGTCTACAGCAGTAGTTCTTCTGGGGAATGTCGACATACTACTACTACCTGTGAGGTTATACATGGCGTGGGGTGTGGGGTTCAGTTTTTTATTTTTTATTTTGAATGTCCTATTGTCAATGCTTCGTGCTTCGAAGTCCTTGACTCAGGCTCCAAGGTTCTCCCTCCAGGTTCTCAAGTCCTTTTTTTTCGAGGAAAGCCTCCATCTTGTGGGAATCCATCCCACCACTCGACCATCGGTCCCAAACTATTGTTGTTGTTGTTGTTGTTGTCTTCACATTAAAAACCGTTCCGATCTCTCTCTACCAATGTACCGGCGTCGTCCGTCTCACACTGCAAGCAGCCCTCCCGTAAGCACACGGCTACACGGCTGTATTCGGCGCGCGCTTTGGTCGGCCGCGGCTTTTGGAGACTGGCGGTTTTCCTCTGCCCGTCGACAACCGCACACCATATCATACCTGCCGGTGCCCGTGGCTAGTTTATTTTCACGGCCTTGGGTTGGATACACACGGCTCTAGCCATGCGCGAGCGGGCGGTAGTGTCACTGAACAGCGACTAAGCTTCCCGGCGAATCTTGTCCGCGTGCCCCGAGTCCGTCATGCACGGTTTCCCGTCGAACGATGCCTCAATTCGGGAGGTACAGCAGTACGGGCCTCACACCCGGCGACATTCTCTTCAAGAGATCCTCTGACCGCCTGCTAGCAGCGTGGTGGCTGCCAGCAATATCGACCCTCATGTCTGTAGCGCTCAACATTGCCGTGTGCCGGACGCCAGCCCAAGAGTATTGGCGTCTCCTTAGCTTGCCTCTAGAGAACAGATCGACGCCTTGCTTGTCACGCGCGGATGCTCACGTTGATACTCTACCACCCCCGTTGTTTTGTCACGTGCCGGAGAAGACCCTGTTCACGCTGCAAGGGGTTGCGTCGATCGCTCGTTCCTTCTCTCTTTCAAGTTACCCAGTACTTTCCACACAACAAGCTTTAATGTGCCTGCTGTACGTTTTCACCACCCTGTATCGCAGGTGCGGGGCAACGTACACACATGTCGAGTCGAGACCGGGTAACGGGGGGTCGGGCACGTCGGGCATGCTGCACCACCTGTTCAAGAAGCACCCGCTCATCCACGCCGAGATCATCAGGGCCAACTCGTCCTCCAAGATGCGGAAGGCAGAAGGTGATCGACCGCGTACACATTTAGCTTTTTGTCATGTTCAATGGAAGTGGGGTTTCTTGGATTGCGTCCCCCCCAAAAATGAAAATTTTCAAATACCCGAAACGAAAACAAAACACACCCAACCTATTGTCACGTCGGGGGGGAGGTAAGGGTCGAGGAATGTAGTAAATGCAGGAGTCGCCCGTGCACAGCGATTCCACCCTGTTTTCGCACCGGCCCGTGTTTAGCGGTGTGTCTTTTCGCAAACCCGCTGTTGGTTGGATTCTACCCATTTGCTTGCTGATTTATCCGCTGACATCCAGTGCTGTAATTCCGGCTCACCACGTGGACCTGTTGGTGCTCTCTCCGCCCATCTTACACGTGCCCCGCTCTGTGGACACACTCCCGCGCAGGTGCGGTAGTCAAAGAGTCCGCCGCGAGCAGCAGCGGCAGCGGCAGCGGCAGCGGAGGCGGCAGCAAAGGACGGCCACAACCTCATCACCCCTCGTCGTTGGGCTCGGCGTTGGCTCAGCTGAGGGCTTGCTCGCTCCCCGGCGGCGGCGGCAGCGGCGGCGGCGGCAGCGCGCTCCCTTCGCCGCCCATGTCCGCGGAGGACTGCCTGCCGCACGACCGTCGGTTCGTGCTCATGTGCGCTCTCCAGACGCTGGACCCGGGCTCCCTGTGCTCGGACCTCGGGCACAGGCTGTTCGTTGGCGGACTGGCCCCCGGCTACGGGGCCGGCCGCCGCCTGGCCCGCCGCCGCAGCGGCCTCGCTCCAAGCGGTAGCAGCTACGCCGCCTCCACCGCTGTCACCGAGGGAGCAAACGGCGCCCGCGCCGCCGGCACAGCCAACGCCATCCTGCAGGACCTGTGCGCGGGCGTGAGACGAGAGGTGGCGTCGGCGCTGAGGGCCCACAGCGAGTCGTGCCGCCGGTTGGGGTGGTCCGGGCCGTTCGTTGGCCTGCAGGTGGACTCGACGGGCCTGCCGGGGGGAGAGGGCGGCGGCGGCGGCGGCGGCGGCGGCGGCGGTGGGGAAGAGGTTTGCACGGCGTCCGTTTCCTTCGTGTCGGAGGACTTTGGGGGCCTTGTGAGGCTCGCGATCGGGGCGAGGTGCTTCCGGGGGAGGCAGATGTCTCACGCCAAGGAGACGTGGATTCGAGAGGTGACGTGTTGTTTAGTTTGTAGGGAAGGGAGGACAAATGTACGGAGATTTCGATACTTGGTATTATGTCATGAAAGGGGGTTCGTGAGTAGAACGCTGACGTGTTGTAGGTGTGGATCTGGGTGCGTGCGCGACCCTCAAGCTCCTCCACCTCTGCTGCGCTCCCCGGCTTGTTTCTCACACGCGCCGCGCCAACGCTTATTGGCCAAACACAAATCGCCCCGGTTTGCTGCTGCTGCTGCTGCTGCTGCTGCTGCTGCTGCTGCTTTGGTCTCAGCTGACGGCGGACCTCTTCACGAGCATCTGCCACAAGTCCGAGCCGAAGGACATCTACCTCGCCGCTACCATCGGGGGTTGCTCCGGCGGCGGCGGCAGCAGCTTCGGGCGCGCCTTCCAGGACATGGGTGTCCCCGTCCTCGTGTGCTCGAGCTACCGGCTACACTCGGCCGTGTCCTGCTCTCTGGGCTGCGCCGCCGCCGGGGGCGCTGGCGAAGATAAATGCGCGAACGCCAAGATGAGGGACGTCGTGCGGCGGGCGGTGTCGATGGTGGAGGTCTTCGAGCACTGGCGGCCCGAGGGAGGCGTGTTCGCGGCGGCCGCCGCCGCTGCCCCTGGGTCGGGTTCCGGTTCAGCATCCACGCTTGAGACCGTGCGTGTGGAGGTGGAGGAGCTGGCCGCTGCGCTGGCACGGGCTCGAGGGAGCACCACAAGGCGAGTTGTAGTTGGCTGCGCCGGGGTTTCGGCAGTGTGTGTGTGGGGACGGGGGGGGGGGTTGAAGCGGTGCTGGGTGTCGGTAGCATGTGGCGGCGGCCGGGGTTGGCGTTTGCTCCGTATTTGCGAGATGGTGGTACTGAACCAAGTTTGCTTGCTGCGCACATCCAACAATGAAAGAAGCAAGTAGGTCGTCTGCATGTGGTTGTCGCCGGCTGTGTGCAGCACTGACGTAAGAAAAAGAGCCCGAAAAAGAGCCCTTGCTTTTTATTTTTATTTTGATTCGGCCGTGAGCCGACGGCCTGGGAAGACAGGAAGGGACGATGCACTAAACCAAACATGCAACTTATTCTAGGTACGTCGCAGATCTAGCTGCGCTGTGTGACTCCACCCACCACGTACAGGTGCGCCATTTTCTGCTTGCACAGACAAGAGAAACAACGAAGCAGCTGGCATCACTGATAGTAGTTCAGTGTATCAGTGTATAGCCTTAAATTGACTCAAAGTTAAGCCCAGCACCCAGCCGGGTTTTTTCTTGCCGCGAAGGCTTCAAAACATCCGTTTCGACTCCTGGTTATACAATTGTATCTAGAATGGGTAGTCTTTCTGTGGTCGTATGCATATGTTGTAACAAAAAACACTCCCCGACGACACCCGGAAACGCACGGCCACAAACATCAGGTGGACAGATTCCCACGCGCTGTTCGAGCGTCTCCTTCAGCTGGCGGGCCCGCTGAACGCCCACTTCCGACAGGCACCCACCGACCGCTCCCTCCAGCCCTCGGAGTGGCAGGCCATCCGCGAGACTGCCAGCATCTTAGAACCCGCCCTTGAGGTGCTCGCAAAGGTCCACGCGAGGGAGGAGGGGGAGTTGGAGGGGGAGACGGAGGGGGAGGAGGGACGCCGAGCAGCGGAAGGAGTCGGCACGTCAGCGGCGGCGGCGGCCTGCAACGGCGGCGACAGAGGGGCGGCCGGGGCGGCGGCCAGGGACAAGAAGAAACCCAGGGGGATTTTTCTGGCGGAGTCCATCGAGCTTCACGCCAACCTCCACTGCTCGTTCATCTACCCCTTGCAGGATATCAGAGGAGATGCGTTGGCGACGGCGGCAACGGGGGAAGGAGTGGCGGCGGCACCCGCGATGGTTGCCGCCGGCGCCGGCGCCGCGCCGTTCTGCTCCAAGCGGGTAGCAGAGCTGACGCCGGAGGCTCAGGCCCTGCTCGAGGCGGTCGCCGAGGGCATGGAGGAGAGCGGCCTCGGGCGAGCCCGCGAGGACACGGAGGCGGTGTCGATGCTCCTGGACCCGCGGTTCAAGCAGTGCTGCGCGAGCACGTGCGTCGACGGGGGCAGCGCGCTCAAGCTCCGCGCCCTCAAGGCGGTCTCGTCCCAGCTGAGGAAGTTCAGGGACCCGGCGAGCGAGGCGGGCGGGGGGCAGGGAGGAGCAGGGGACGGCAGCGGCGGTGCAGCCGCCGCTCGGCAAGAGCCCGGCGCGGCGGCGGCGGCGGCGGGGGGGGCAGCGGTCAGCAGGCTGGACAAGATGAGGCAGGCGCAGAAGATGGAGGCGGCGGCGGCCGGAGCGGCGGGGGCGGCGGGGGGACTGGCGCCGCCGCCGGGGGAGAACGGAACCGGCGGAGCCGGCGGCGGGGGCGGCGGCGGCGGGGGGGTCCCCGGCGAGGTGGATAACCGGCTGTCGGAGGACGCCCGCGCCGAGCTGGAGGAGTATCTGCTGGAGCCCGCCTCTAAGCGGCACGAACTCTTGTCATACTGGAGGCTCCACGGGACGGACACCCTGGACTCCGGTACCGGTGAGGTTGTGCTGGCCGCGCGGTGGCCGCACCTGGCCCTGGTCGCCAGGCTGTACGCCGGGATCGATTCGACTAGCCGGCAGGGGGAGAGGCACTTCGGCGGCGGGAGCGGGGGCGGTGCCGAGCTCGGCGCTGCCGTGAGGTCGCTGCAGCGGGGCGGCATGCCGCCGTGGAGGATCGAGCAGATGCTGCTCGTCCGGCTTAACCGGCACGTCGTGCCGGAGGTTGTCGATTTCCTTCGAGGTGGTTGTTAAGTTCAATGGTTGCAAGCAGTTTTTTTGTTTTTTTGCCGTGTAAGGCCCGTGTTTGCCGTGTTTGTTATCGACAAACACGGGTATTGTTATGTATGTGTATTCTACGAAGCACAGAGGCCGGCCGGCAAAAGATGCATGCGCGCGCGCTATATTTTTAGGTGACAACAAAGTGTGTAATTTAGCGATCCCTCTCGCGAAGTGTATCGAGTTACGTTCTTAAATTCTTGTAACATATTGTAGAATTGGTGTTGTTTTTGAGCATGGTGGGCGTTTCGTCGAAGGTTGGTCTTTTCCGCGACAAGTAGGTTTTGCGTTTCCTGACTGCAAGCGACCTTGGTGGCTTGTTTTGCACGATGCGGTTGTGCCCTGGCTCCTACGTCTGTGCTTATGCGGAGCGCGGGTTATGCGCGCATTTTGCTGCTGGTGCTGTGGATATCATCGAGAATACTGCTTGCAAAAGTTTTTACGTCTAAGGATTGCCGTGGGCCGCGGCTGCCTAACATTGCAGTATTTTTTTTGCCGCAGGAGAAACCCCAATCTGCAATTGGGGGAATTGTCGAAGCAGCAATGCTTGCAAGAGGTTGCGTCTATGATGAGAGAAGAGCGCGTGGGATGAAGACAAGAAGATATCGCGTGCACCAGGCCTCTAGACAACCCGAGCAAAGGGAGAGTCAGGGCAGTTTTCCGTCAAATTGTGATCCGCTGCGGCGCGCGCTGCTCGACAAGCATCGGCGGACGGAAGGGCGAACCTTGTAACACGCTATTAGTGTATCCGACTACAGCGTGGTGGGCCCTCTTTAGTAGTGTAGGTGCCCAGTATAGTGCCAATGTATGTATCCCGGCTGGAACAGGGCTGAACCACCAAGTGATTCTGTTACTTTGAAGAGTAGCGCCGGGGTCCGGTATTGTGCCCAGAGAAATGCTGTTGCGGGTGGTGGGGGTAGCGGGCTGTGGGAGTATCAAAAGGCTTCAAGGATAGTCCAGGTATAGCGCGCCCTGACGGGCCCTGACCGGGGGCGGGCATGTTGCATGCTGTTTATAAGTGTGTGGTACTGTTGCCTAGGTGTTGGCACTCGTCGATACAGCAGTGGTGTCGGCCACCTAGTCGATGCAGCAGTGGTATCGGCCACCTGATTGTGGTGGAACGGTCTGAGCTAAAAAAACACGAAATGTTGTAACCCGGGGATGATCAACCACCTATTTAACCCGGTCAAAATTCGACCCGTTGTTTTTTCTTTCCTGCAGAAAGCACGGTCCAGTGTGGTTGTGGATGCTGCAGAGCTTTCGGTCATGAAGCAACCCGGTCAATTCCCCAAGATTCCAAATGAGAACCATATTGCCGGATATCGCTGATATCCCGGGGATGACATTCCAGCGTCCCCGCTTAGCCCATGACTACCATTTGTCTTTTTTGTTTTGGGCTTCGTCCGTCAGGCAATGACCGTGGACGGTAGTAGAGCAATTTCGATCACCAACATAGTCCTCTGTGCTTCCCGTGCTTCAATAGTCCAAACCGGAACTACCTATATTCCCGGCACAGGTTTGTAAATTGGTCCGTTGAGGTTAGCTGGGTTCTTCGAGTCGAAACACGTCGTCAGCTGGGTGAGATGTTGAGCTTGGGAAACATCACAACTGGCAGCCAGCTGTGGGCTGGTCCTGCCGCCTGCTTTTGTTTTCGTCTAGCGCCATCGCTTGATGACACTGCTCATTTCTCATGAACCCGCTGGGCAAGGGGTCCTTTGGACATCCCTACACTTTTTCGACAACAGGAACAACAGCAGAGACAGCAGTACACAGTAACTCGACTTGCATGGCATACGAGTCCCCGCCCCCTCCCCCCCCCAAAAAGTGACTTAAGTAACATACACCGAGCACAACACCATCACACACAGACGTAAACACCAAGGCGAGTCAGACACGTGAGAAAGTGGTATGCCAACTGTATTGTAGGAGTCTGAAGCAAAAAAAAAAAAAAATGCTCGCGGTGTTTCTTTCATCACCCCGGCGATTCCACACACTCCCATGCTCAAGGCACCAGTTCAGAGCCGTCTCGACTCTTTGGCAGTACAGTAGCCCTCGCAAGGAATATTCTTAATCTTGGTTTGAAGTAGCGGGTACGGGGTGGGGTTAGGGTTGAAGATAAGGGATACGAAGCCCCCCTTTCTATTTCGTAGATTAACTCGAAAATCCTCGTCCCTCTTCGGACGACACCGAAAAAACTTCCGCAAGTCCTCGGCCAGAACGGACGGAACCTCTTGTCGCCGCACACGAAGATAATAATCCAAGCAACTGCGTACCATCCTCAGCCACAACCCCGGGACGAAGAGCATAGTTCCAGGACTTGACAAACAACAAACCAGCTCTTGACAAATCGATGACCCAAAACACGTCAAAAACAGTAGTTCCACAAACACCCCATCGGGTGTACTAATGGAGGAGCAAGAGGCGCTATTCTCTAGCTGTTTGTGGGTACAGAATGAGCTCGTACGCCCTCGAGTGGATGGAGAAACAGCGACAGCAGCAAGGATACACCCAAGCCTCTGTTCTCTCGGACCTTTTCCGCCTGGCATGCTTCGTTCGCCCCCTACGCCATCGCTTGCCATCCATGGGCCAGAAGTCGGCGTCTCTTTCTTATGCCGTTTTAGAGGTGGTTCCCCATGGAAAAATAAAACACACAGACGTTGAATATCGAGCAGGGCCAAGAAATGGCAACGCAACACTTTCTCGAACAACACCAGCCCGAAAAAAAAACGAAAATTGGCAAGAAATCTTGCCAACCGCAGAAACAACACACTTGACACTTTCAAATTCTAGTCGCTTCGGATTTAAAACGTAAGTACAACATTGACGGCAACACATCCAGATGATCAATCCGTATCAACTGGCTCCCATACATATATATATCAGCAGCGCCGTCTACGTCGCACATCGGCGCCGTTCGCAGAGAGGGCATCACACCAAAAACCATCAGTTTGCTGCATGGGCACGAAAAACCAAAACAAACATGTCCGCGCAAACGCCGGACAACAAAATATGTATCGCATGAATCATACCACCGATCGCTGTGACATGGGACGTAAAAAAGATACAACACCAACTTCGAGCCAACTCCTCTCTCTCTCTCCCCAGCCGCGTTTAAGACGCAAAACCACCGCGAACACCAATACTTCACATGTCGTGGAACCCTATTTCCGATTTCAAGTCTCCTTGCGATTGCCACCAACACGTATGTATGTACAACAATTCTCTCCCAACCTCATGTTGTCAGACTACTGAAATACTACAGCCACCACATACACCATCATGACTCATGATCCGTCTCATACACGAAGGGCGTCGGATCCCTTGTCTAGCCGGACAGCCTTCGCGCCACCGAGGCACTGGATGCACTCCCACTCCAATCGGAACACGTTCCACATCGAACGCCGTAGGATCTGCTCGAAGACATCCCACAAGTTCAGGGCAAATCGAAAAGGGTAAACGTTAGACGACTCGAGAGGGGAGAGGACGCGGACAAGGGGGGCCTGGTAACACCCCCCTACGAAGAGGGGCACAATGCTCGTGGAGGGGGGGGGGGGCTGGTGAAGGCAGAAGCGAGACAGGGGGTCCGCTTGATGGTTACTTTTTTCTACCTCTCAAGCAACGGCTCTTTAGGTTGCACTGCTTCAACCAGTGGCGTCGCGTCCTTGCCCGTCGATTCATCCCTTCCCGAAACGCCTTTAAAACCTTAAGAAACGACCAAGAAGAACAAACCGACCGCCCATCCGAGCGTGACGCACGAAATGAAGCACAATCTTGTCCGGAACACGCCCAAACCAACCTCGAACAAACCATGCCGCACGCGCTCCTCCACAAATACAGGTACTGCTGTGCATACACATCGAACGGTATTTAACGTGAAGACAACAGCCAGCCACAACAACATACACCGGTGCCGAATCCCCATCCCCAACCCAACTGACCTCTACTAGCTCCAGAGTTAGCACCATGTCCACGCTCCTGAACCGTTCCTCCGCCAGCCGAGCCACCCACGTCAGCCGCAGCACCAGGTCCACCGCCACCGCCACGTAGTACGGCCAGGGGGCCTCGTGGCAGATGAGGAGCGTGTTGCGGAGCCCCCATCTGCGGCTCCCCCGTTGGCCGAGCCCCCAGTCCATCTTCACGTCCCAGGCGAAGGAGTAGACCGAGTTCAGCAGGGCCGCCGCAATGATGGCTTTTCCCACGCCGGGAAGCTGTCGAGGACGGGATGGTTGGCGGGGGTAACGATAAAAATATATTTAGGCTCCGCCAACGCTATGGATTCATTTGGATCCGTTGTCTATAGGTTGGATGGATGTTGGGGGGCGATAAGAAAAACACAGGTGGTCTCTGCTAACGCTATGGATTCATTGGCTGATATTCTGGACGCTGTATCTATGAATAGCGATGGATTCGTTGTGAAAAAAAAAAAAAAAACGCTCTCGGTAGTACGTTCGGCAGCTGCTGAATATGTCCAAGTGTCGTTGCTATTGTTGACACAAAAAACAGCGAGAGGTTCGTTGGGGGGGTGTGCATGTGGCAAACGTCGCACAAATTTCCGTGTTCCGACGAAGCGAAAGAGGAAAGGATGTTTGATGGATGGAATGGGGATAACATACCCTATGGACGCGAGAAACTAAACACCTGCCGTGACAACAAAAGACAAAAAACACAAACACAACGCGAGATACGGTTGAGCCCAAGCGTAGCGTTGGGACCAGGCGGGCGTCGCGGGAACCAATGGTGGCTTCCGGTCTCCCGACAACGACGGGCAATCAACGGGCTTACCGTCTTCATATTCGACAAAAACCCCACCACCACACCCACTACCACTACCAAAAACCAACGACGGCCACGACGCTGACGAGAGAAAATACGTGAAAACAGGCGGGTGGGGTCGGATTTTCGGGACGGGAAAAGCGGGGAAATATATATATATACAAATTAATGGGGTGCTTTTTACCTAAACTAATCAATATCTGGGTTTTTAGAGGCCAAGTATGCCAGCCAGCAACCAACTTCAACACGGGGAAGAAAGGGAAGCCAAAGAAAAAGAAAAAAAATCAACACAAAGACGACCCGACAATCAACTCACATACGCAGCCCCGTCGTAGTGCCGCATCGCCTGGTACCCGGTGAGCCAGATCACCGGGAAGGCGCTGAGGTACTTGCCGACGTTTATCGCCAACAGCAACTTCCGTTTCGGGTCCACCTCGTACGTGAGTTGCATTACGCACTGCCGCACACGGACCCTTTTTTTTTGGGGGGGGGGGGGGCGTTAGCGTTCAGCGCGGGCGCTCCGACAGGCCGAGAGAGAGAGAGCGCGAGAGAGAGAAGCGCGGCAAGGGGACACGGCCGTTGTTGTTGTTGTTGTTGCTGCTGGTGTTTGCCAACGTTGCTTCTAACTGATGCACTGTTTTTCAGAAAATACTGGAAAGTGTAAAAAAAAAATACACACAAAAGACAGTTTCGGAAACCAAAAAAAAGCTGAAATAAGGAAATATATTTAGAGTTAAGCCATCGTTCTGAGGATCGTTCCTGACAGTCTCGCCAGAACCCAAGATAAGAGAAAAATAATCAGATTTAACAGCGGAGGGAGGCTCGTTTTGTGGAAAATTTTGCCAACTTTTCGATTTAGCAGCTTTCTTTGAAATAACACATCAGGCACCACACACAACCTATCATCAGGCACTGTACCCACACGCACACACACAGTCTGCAAGAGCATGTCCAGCGGCCGCCCAAATAATACCCAGCGCCCAGCGCAAAGGCCCTGGAGTTGGCGCGCCACCAACACAGAAAGGGGGAGGCTGCACGGTCAGAAAACCAAGTTGGGGTTGGTTGCTGCGCGGCCTTAGGTCAGCAACACGCGCCCGTCACACACAGACAGGTTGAAGCAAGGGGGAGAAAGAGCGCCGGAACGAGCCGCGGCACCGACGACGTAGCGGAGGCGGCAGCACCGCCAGCAAAGGGCAGAGAGGAGAAATAGCACGCAGTTGCCTTCTGGTGACGCACCGCAAGAGTATTCTCTGCTTCTACTTGAGAGAGCGTTTTTGACTTCGATGTGCCCCCGCCCCCCAAAAAAACACCCTCTCCCCAACGCTTGAAATGCAATACACAGCACTTCGTACACGGCTGCCGGGCGGTATGTGTACTTCCTGTCGCTGTTCTGGTGCGAGTTCGTGTGCTGGGGTTGAGGGGGCAACACAGACACGCACACGCATGCATGCACGCACACTCAACAGCAGTGGGAGCGCGGTGATCGGGGTGCAGCTGTCACGCAGCGCACCACAAAAAACAGCAGTACCTGCGAACAGGGGAAGTTCGTTGGGTGACTGTCGTCCCACAGCCAACCACATGAAGCCGCCTTAAATCGGAAAATATTCGCCTGCAGGAAGTTTCCAGGAAAAATTCTTATCTCAAAATCTGTTTCCTTATCTCAGCAAATTTGGAGCCCCAGTCCGAAACTGTGTAAAGACTACAATACCCGTTTGAGATACACAACCACAGCGATAATATCTTGTCACGCCTTACTTCAGGAGGCACCACCTCTCCATAACGGACAAGACAGTTCTCCCGCTATCCCCACTCGACACAAGCAAGGGGCAAGGGCGTACACGCTCGGCATATGTGCCGGGTTCAGCGGAGGGAGGGTGCGTGGGTGGGGGTCGGCCGGGCCGGCGGCCGGGCCGGCTTACGGCACATTTAACTTCAGCAGATTTGCCTCTGGTGGTTGCCACACGAAAGATTCGAAACGATCAAGAGGTGATTTAAGGCACGAAACGGGCTTCGTGAAAACAGGAGGGATACATATCTCAGTTCTTCTTAGCTCCCCCTCCCCTCCCCCCCCAAAAAAATAACAAGACGAAAAAAACGAGAAAAAAAAAAAAGGACGGCAAGTCCGACCCGACAAAACACCACGGACAAAATGCTCCCACCCAAAACAATCTACCCAGGTAGGTAGGTACTACCCAAAACTAGTGTCCTTCTCACCAGTAAGGAAAGCTGGCGAACACGCAGGGGGTGTACAAGAACGCCCATCCGGGGTACCTCATCCCCCAGCCCTTGGCCACGAGCAGGAAGGTCACCGCAACGTCGGCGAACACCCTCGAGAGGCTCGTCAGCGCGTCAGCAACCAACACCTCGGCGAAGTGTACGTCCGTGGCTGGGAAGAAGACGCCTGCCAGCGACGTGAAGAACAGTGCCGTGTGTTGCCTGCCTCCCGGTCAATGCCAGGGTGGGGGTGGGGGGTGGGAGGGGACGGAATAGGCTGAGGTAAGCTTAGCCTTATCAGGCACGCCGAAGGCGTGCTTCAGGCATGTGCAAAACGGCCCGTCGCAAGCGAAACATTTTGGGGTCAGGCAAAATTTCAGGCATTTGCCTGACACCAGGTTTTTGCCTGAAATGCCTGATTGGTTGCCTGAAATGCCTGATTTGAATCAGGCAACCTGCCTGAAAACTTGCCTGAAACTTGCCTGAAACCCATTCTAGTCGTTTTGGCGCCCTCATTACGCAACTGTAGCGCGCAACTAACGTGCACCGGCAGTGTTGGCATTCACGGCTTACATTGAAGTATTTAGACACGTAGTTAACGAAAAATATATATCGTTTTATGTTGCAAACAACATTTATTTGCCCCGTTGGTTCCCCCCATTCACCCCATGCGTCTCGACTCAGTACTCCACCAACATCAGCAAGAGGTTGCTTGAAGCGGGCGAGGGGCGAGGGGCGAGGTACAGAGAGCACACAGAAGCTGGAGGAGCAGAAAGAAACAGAGAAAACCATTACTTCGCAAAGATTGTACAGATGCCAAAGAAACCAGACAAACGTTCAAAACAAGATTCGGACATTCAACGTTCGACAACAAGCAAAGCATTCCCCGCCGACGCAAGGCATGGTAAACCGATAATTACCATCCTCCCCCACTTCCATCTGTTTGGTGTGTGCAGAAGCGCTAAATAGACAACGCTAACAGTCAACGAGCTCTAGGAGCAGGGGGCCAGGATTTTTAAAATATGACCGCAGGTACATGCGAGCAGCCAGGTTATTGGCGCCCCGTCGACTTTCCCGCAATCCCTTTCATGTACGCACGGGCAAGAAACGCTAGCTGGCAGCATCTTGCTGCACGACCACACGACACACTGCCAGCACGACACTACCAACACGACACACCGCTAGCTAAACTACCACTGCATCATTCGTCGAGTACGCAAGGCCGCGGTTGAAACGCAACATCACAGTCAGCTCGAACAGGTCGTTCAGCATGTGTGTCTGCTGCTTGCCGAAAACGTTGTTCCTGGCGGAAAAGGCACGTTCCATCATCGCCGAAGACGGCTGCAGAAGCCACAGCTTGCGGACCAGGTCGAACCACGATGGAAGCTCATCCTTGTTGCACAGTCAGAAGTCTCGGGGTTGAGGTGGACAAGTCCGGGAGGCTCTTGACGGCGGAGAAGTACCTCGGGAGCTCCACCAGCAGGTTCGTGAAGACGGCGGGAGTCACGAACTTGAAGGATCTCAATCCTTCCGTGCTCTCCGACATCTTCTGCATGTCCTCGTGCATCGCAACGAACGATGGCGTCATCGCACGCGCAACAGCTGCGTACTGAACTTTTCGCGTCGTCGTGGCCACCGAACCGCTCCCATGAGTACTCGCGCAAGTCCTCCCTGCCAGTGCACATGCACAGTGCATGTGCACTGGCTGCGTCAGCAGCCAGCACTCCAGTACATCCTAATATTCGCAGATTTCCTCAATAATAGGCCTCAAGAACCAGCGGAAACCCATCTATTCACGCCGCTTCTGAGAGAGACACAGCCATACAGCAGTCCAAACATCGTCACGAAGAATCGCAGCAACTTGGCCCCGACCACCGTGGAGCTGCTCGTCCTTCTGCGCCACTCGTGGAAGATAGTGGAGGAATGGGAACAATCGAACACCCCCGCGGCCGCGAAGAGGGGCTATCATAGGGTAGTGGCTGTCTTTGATGGTGGCTGTCTTTGATGGGGAGGATCTATATATAGTTTGGTTCTCTGCTGAAGGGTGCTGGTGGCGCAAAGAATCGCCATCCTAAGTCTCTGCTTGTTGTGCTGGTGCTACCGGCAGTGATTTGTGCGCGGTGTAGGTTTCGGTTGTGTAGCTTTGGCGCTGTTCTTATCTCCTACTTGAGCATTCTATCAAGCTGGTGGTTCATTTGTTGCGCAACTTATCCTGTCGTTTCTAGGTAGACTAGTAGATAGACTAGTCGTTTCCTTTTTAGCTTTTTAGCTCTTAGCTGGTTTCTTGGTAAACGTTCAGGGCTGCCGTGTCGTTGTGTCCTTCGTAGAGTCCTTCGTGTTTCTGCGAGAGAGGGGCTGTAGAGTCCAGTATACGAGAGCGTCGCTCATCAACCCACCTGATGGATTTCACTTGGTTGCTTGGGAGTAACATTTCAATATTTCTAGCTAAATATTTCCTTATGTCGAAAACCAACAAATTCAGTCGTTGAACTCGAAATTTCTATTGTTTTCCCCGCGATAGTGCCTCTGTCAGATGGGCCAAAATCGATCATTTTTCATGCTCTAGTGAAGCCAAATCGCGTAAAAAAGCACCTCCGGCGGGGCAGCAGCCAGTATACTTTTAGATATGCATTCGTGACGTGAAGAACAGCACCGTGTGTTGCCTGCGTCCCGGTCCGGCGAGGATGGGGGGTACTCATGTTCTGCACGTCTAAACTGATGTAGAGGTGACGGGTTTCAGCACGGGCATCACAAGCTCGCTCTCGCCCGCGAAGCGCGGGAATTGGTTTCGCGCGGAAACCAAAGAGCGCAGTAGTCAGCTCTGTCTGTCTGTCTGTCTGTCTGTCTCTCCCTCTCTTTGTAGTGCACTCCGCCCGAACGAAAGCACACACCGATCCAAGCACTCGAACGAGGCGGCTACAGTCGCAGCAGCAGCAGCGCCGGCGGCCAAACCAAGACGCCCCCAACGCTCACCTCACGGACGGAGCCTGAAGCGGCACCAGCAACGCCCCCCCGAGGATGAAGTAGAAGCCCCCGACCGCCACGGTCGGGGGGACCCGAAGCATGCGCGACCCGTGTATGCACGCCAGCAGCACTCCAAGAAACCCCGCGGCCGTGGACACGACCTGCCGCCAGCTTGGGGGGGTGGGCACCCGCGTCGGCTTTCCCTTTCCGGAGGTATCTCCTTGGTCTTCCGTCGCAAGGCGGGGTCCTGCAGACAGCAGAATGCAGACGAAGGGGTGGGAGTGGGGGTTAAGGAACTGTGCGTTTTAATTGTTCCCATCGACCGCGCTAACTAATGAGAAGATGCCAGTCTCAGCGCGTTTGAAAACACAGCAATGCTCCAAACCATGATCTGGGACCCCGTAAGGGACCGTCATGGGGGAGGCTATGCTATACTCTGGATACAGACACGGTAGCAACAGAGGAAACCTGCACATGTTTGCCGGGTCTGCTGCTGTGAATGTGTGCTTGATCGTGTATGCCGTGTGGGACGTGGAAATCAAACCCACAGAGATATGTTGAACGGCACCACTCAAGAACTCGACAGTAATTGCGGTACTGAAGCTCGTGAAATTGGCGCTACCGCTGTCTCTATCTGTGGATTGCTGTGGAATCCGTTCATAACCGGGACGAGATCACGACGGCCTTGTGTTCATTACTTGTACTGAAAAGACGGCGTGTGTATCCCGTACGCAACATCGTACGGTGTGGCCTCGTCTCCGTGTATCACTTCATGCATGCCAAGTGGTGCCCTATCTTTTTGAGATGATTTGGGAGCAGCTTCGTGGAACACCGCGCGAAACCGGGGAACGCTCACGGTTGTAGGGGGGGTAGCAGCATCACCGGGAACAGAACAAAAAAAAAAAATCCAGTTTCAAGGAGAAAAATACATCATGCGCTACAACAGAAGAGGCTTTAACACGAACAAAAACACACACACACACAACACACAACCCCGTAGATCTGGGGTGTCATCTCGAATGGGTCTGCCTCTCATTTTTTTTTTTTTTTGTCTCACTTCAAATCAGCGCTCGCAGCATTTGCGCCGTCCCGCCGTGGTCACATAGAAGGGTACCTCTCCCTGATGCCCCCTACCCGCCCCTCCTGAGGTGCTTTGCCTTCGATTTTAGATGCGAGGTAGGGCAGCACTCTCTTCCTACTGCTGTGTTCACACCTTCTACATACATATACGCATACCTACTGCTGTAGCGCTTTCGACCCATACAGCAGCAGTAGGCCATTGGACGAAAGTTCGGAGTACATTTGGTAGAAAATACCACCTGTTTCTGCGGAACATCCACAATTACCTAGGGTGTACGTGCGTACCGTATGTATACAGGCAGTGCATACAACCACACTGCTGTATCATCGACGATTTGGTGCCTGTTGCTGTCGCTGTCAACTTTCAACCTGAAAACACCACAGGGGCCACGTCAAAGTAGAGTCGGAAGGATTGGTGACACCAGCAAGTAAGGATTTTTCCGTGCTGCTCATGTCCCCTGCTTCGTCTCGCCATACTCTCACAATGCTGTTACCACCACAACGATTCAAACGCGATTCTTCGCCACATCAGCAGCACCTATTTAGAGATTTACAGGCACTGCTGCGCGTGCCATGGTTGGTACATGCTCTAAATAAGTGCCGTGTTGGGCACGGTGTGTGCGTGGATGGCGCAAAACGGTTGCAATTTCTAATCCAATTCCTAGTACAGCAGTACTCCACTACATAACTGAACTGCCTGACACTAACCCAACGTGAGGGAGCGCTTCTCCACACCGCACCGGAAGCCTTTCGGAGCACGGAGCTGAACTCGATTTGCAGCGCCTGCAGCACCAGGATCACGAGCCCCCAGAGCCCCAAGAACACGGCCAAAACCAGGGGCACCCTCACGGAAGCGAGATACAGTTCCTCGTACTCGTCGCTCGACATCATCATCGCGTCCTTCACCCACCCCCGTTCGTAGGCAGGCGCCTGGCGCGGGGGCCGGGAACACCACCGCCTCCAAGGGGAGTGCCACTTACGCCCCGGGTAGGGGGGGGCTCGAGGAAGCAGCGGGACGTGTGCAGCGCCGCACACCAGGTAAAACACGAGGTGGAAGAGAAAGGGTTGAAACGTACTGCACACAAAACTTGCACTCCGAATGTTCCTTGTCCCTGTTCCGGCCGCGCACGCGGCTGGCGGGCAATTGCAAAGCGCTGGGGGCCCCGTGATGATAAACAGCTACCCCTCGTTGGATGAGTTGTGGAATTTTCGCACCACACATGAGAGGCATGAGCACAGCAGTTGAACTAGCAAACATGAGAGCCTCGTGGAAGGTTTTGAAGTCGGCAATCTGCTCGTGTATGATGCTATAGGAGTAGAATAACAATCATGATGTGGACTTTGCCCGTTCTGCGTGTCCATGATGTGGTACGTTCATGTGTAGAAAGCATGATCTATGCATGGGACCCGATGAGTGTGATGAGTGGTATGTTCCTGCACATTTATACAATGTAGATACGCAATCCAAACGTCGACGAGCGTGACCCGGAAGAATACAACACACACAGCAGACCTTCACGGCGAGACGGACTGCCTTGGGACCAAATAAGCCCCAGCGTTCATCAAAGAACAAGAGTCGGAGGTAGATGGTGTCCATCACCGATCTCTCTCGGCGTACTTTATTGTTTCAGACTCAACTCACCCTCTCTGGTGATTTCTTCGGAGATTGAGGGGCGCGAGGTTAGCTCAACAACGACGGTGGTTCACAATGTATTGCAAGGAGAAATACCCAGCGAAACGCAAGACGATGTGGCTAAATATTGTACAGACAGACTCGTACACTACCATCATTCTTCTTCTGTCCGAGGTGCGGCGTGTAGATGATCACGGCGAGGCTCCCAATTGCGCGAACTTCGTGGTACAGCAGTCGTGGGCCCGGTTTATATATATTTTAGCGGTCCATAGTGTCACGAAATTTTACAACCGCTATTCAGGGCATCGCCGCTAAACCACTTAACCAGGAGGCTTTTTAATAACGGTCATGAACCGCTAAACCGGGAAAAAGCCCATTTTTGCCCTACAATAACAGCGTGGAGAGCTGATATTGATAGGGCCATGCGTATCATTGCAGGAGTCATACGAAGGTGCAGATGAATGAAGAAGTAACGAGCCAATGAAGGACAACGCCGCAAGCACATTCAATAATGATGCATTTTAATTCGCCAAAGCACGAAGACTCTTCTCCCTTCTGGACTGTATGCCCCTCATCAAGACTGGAAAATCGTTCGCGTCTCTAACGAAGTGAAGTAGGTGATGAGACAAACTTGTGACAACGCAAAATGGCAATCAACCACGTGCTTGAGCATCTCATTTCTGCCGTGTGTCGCGTATCGATCATTCTTCACCCAAAGCAATCTCTTTGGCATCTGCCTTCCGCGCTGGAGGAGCGGCGTGCGCTGCGAGGAACGTCATTTTTGCCTCGCGAAATAGTGTGCTACTTCGCTTACGCCACACGACTCCGCGCTCTCCACGCTGGCCAAAATCCGATGATACCTCCGAGTGTGGTGGCGGCGACATCACCCCCCTGCCCTTCGCTCCGTCAAATTGTGCGCTGGTATCTAGCCCTAGCTCTAGGTCGTCGTGTCGTCGTCGGAGGGGTTAGGCCCCCCTCCATGTACATACCGGACAACTTTGAACAACCTCGTCATTCGCGCCCTTTTACGCAAAGCTTCGGCGATCTCTTCCTGTGCGCACTATTTCTGCGTGCGCTACCTTCTGGTCAAGAAGCTTCAAAACCTCGAGATTCTAGCCAAAGTAGAGTCGCGTGTGGGGCTGTTGTCGTGTAGCTGCAGCGCGAGTTGTTTCTTTCCGCGCGCCTGGTGCTAGAAAGCCACCTTACACCTCTTGGCGCTCGGGCGGATTTGAAAAGTGAGGGGAACTCTGCACCTTCTTGGTTGTAGGCCGGTTCCATCTCGTTCTCATCCGGAACCTCCACCTCCCCACACACATGCCGTGTATGCGGCCACCACAGCGACCTTTACAATCATGCGCGCCGCTTGGACTCGTGCCGCATCTAGAAGCTTGCACAGTTCTCCATCCACGCGCCGCATGGTGTGTGTCTTTATTATTAGCATCGACCGCGCTAACCGGCTGACCAATGAAAAGACGTCGTCGTCAGTCTCAACGCGGTTGAAAACACAAAACAAACACTTCTATATGTCATTAACTGGGACCTTGTGAGGGGGCGGCATGGGGCAGGAAAAAGCTATTCCCCGGAGAAGGACAGACACGGTAGGTAGCAACAGAGGAAAACTGCCACCTTGCACTCGAGTTCGTTTTGGAGTGTATTCACCATCATCCTCGTTGCTTTCACCACCATCACTCTTGTTTGTGGTACTTTGGATGTGTGTCCGATCTACATGCGTTGTATGCGCCTGATGGGGGGTACGTGAATGGGTATGAAGTGTATTGGGGGTAGGAGAAGACCCCTAGTGCTGGAGAGAGAAAGAGCCCACGAGCTCACTTGCCTGAGGGGCTTGCGTGTCGAATACCAGCTTGCCTGAGGGGCTTGCGTGACGAATATATACAATACATGGTCCTTTTTTATCAGCTGTTCCTGGGATAACATAGTCCCCAGTTTCAACACCACAGACCGCTGAGGGCGGCAGTGCACTAACACCCAACAATTATTCGTGTTACATCAGAAAGGCGTCGGAACGAAAACGGACATTTCTGGAAAAAACAACTTGCAAAAGAGTTGGCACCAAATCCTCAAACAAAACAAAAACTCAACTTCTTGACCAATCAAAACGAGAATTCGGAAAGCACAATGGCCCCAACCATTAATCGTCAAAACCTGTCAAACCCATTCCTCCAATACCAGATCCTAAACAGCGCGCACCCGCTAATCGGTACCGTCGCTGTTGTCCAAGAAACGATAGAAAATATAAAGCAAAAAACATCCATCCATGCATGCATACAGCCCCCCTGCTGTGACATCCCAAGAAACTATCCTCCCAACGTTCTATCTCCACGTGAACAGCCCCCCTGCTGAGACATGTCCAAAAACATAGGAGAAACAACAAAAATATCAATTGATGTGCATGCACTCTGTAATCATAGCCATACATGACATTCCCCCCCATGATTGCAGATAGATGCAGAGACAGCAAGAAGAGACAAACGCAGCAAAAAAAAATATTGCTATCGACTAACAAAGGAACGTTACTTGATGTTCATCACAAAATCACGGTGAAAGCAGAATGCTGCCCTGTGCAGTGGTTTGGTCATAAAATCGGCGTGCTGCAAAGCAGACGCAACGTGAACCACCTTAAACTGCTTGCGTGCTACACGCTCCCGAATGAAATGGTGACGGATGTCTATGTGCTTAGAGTTGGGGGTGGTGACCGGGTTATTGGCCAAGTGAAGGGCCCCCATGTTATCCTCGTGAACTCTAGTGCACCCGATGCGCTCATCTGGAAAGATAAAACTCCAGAGATAGCGCAAGAAAATCGCTTCCTTGAAACCGTCGCCCATCGCAACATACTCGGCTTCAGTCGAAGAAAGTGTAACACTCTTCTGCGTTCGCGACAAAAACGAGGCACAGGCACCCGCACACATCACAACCGCACCAGAAACCGACCGCCGGTCCGTCGCGTTGCTCGCGTAATCGGAGTCAACGAAGAGTTCCAACGAGACACCGCCCTCCGTCCCTCGCTGATACGTGATACCAAGACCGACCGTGAACCTGACATACATGAGAACATGCAAAGCTGCACGCCAATGCACCATCTTGGGGGCGTGGGCATACCTCGCCACAGCTCGCACTGCGTTGAGGATGTCCGGGCGAGTCTGATTCGCCAGCCACATCAAGTGTCCTACCAAAGACCGAAAAGGCTCAAGAACATCAGGCTCTGCATCGTCAAAATCCTCAAGCTTCAAGCCTACTACCATGGGAGTCTCCTTGTTGCGTGTGACACCGAACTTCTCAACTAAGTTCCTCGCAAACGTCTCCTGCGACAACGTAATCGTGCCACCCGCGCGGTCACGAGAAAACCGAATACCCGCGTACAAACTCAGCTCTCCAAGGTTCTTGATCGGGACGAAAGCGTTCAAGTCTCTGCCAAACTGATCACACCTACGCTTGGTCCCGATCGAGAAAATGTCGTCGACGTGCACCACAACTACCATTGTCACAACACCGTTCTCGATCAGACGCATGACACAAGCATCAGCAGCACACTGCTCAAACCCAAGGCGCTTCATTGCTCGGAGCAAATGGTAATGCCACATGCGGGACGCTTGTTTCAAACCATACAGGCTACGGGCAAGCTTGACAACTTTCCCTGAGAGAGAGCCACAACCTTTCGGCAAACGAATGTACACATCCTCGTCCAGCTTGGATTGAACGAACGCCTGCTCAGCATCAAGGTGCACAAAATCCCAACCAAGATGACAAGCAATTGCGGCAAGAACGCGAATACTAGTAACAGACGGGCACGGCGAAAAAGTCTCAAAATAATCAACCCCTTCCCGCTGACTAAAACCTCTTGCTACCAGCCTGGCCTTTGCACGCGTCACATCACCGAACTCGTTGGACTTCCAAAGGTACACCCATTTGGCAGAAATGATGTTCGTCCCTGGCTGCTACGAGCCTGCCGCTGGCGAAAAAGTCTCCGCCTCGAGAAGTCCGGTGAACTCCGCATCCTCAGCGCTGTACCAGATGTCGCTGTCTTCGCCTGAGTGCGCCTCCGCCCACGTCGTCGGTGTCACGCGCTCGCTCGCAGGCCCATCCGGCAGCTCCGGACCCCCAAAGCACCGCTCATCGTCCATCCGCGCGTCGAAGTTTTCCGCCATTGCAAGCATCGCCAACACCCCTGGGGACCGCGGCAGAGGCCCACCTTTAGCCAGGCGCCGCGCCGAGGCCCTCGTGACGGAAGGGGTAACCTGATGGCGCTGCTGCTGAGGCTGCATGTGCGGCGCTCGCGGGGGGGGACGGTGGGCTTGGTTGCTCCAGTTGGGATCGATCACGAAGCTGCGGTCGGGCGCATCGCTGTCGCGGACCCAAGTATGCATGCCGCGGGCGTCGCCGTCTCCGTCTCCGCTGTGTCCGTCGAGATGCCCGGGGCCATCGCGGCGACTGGGGACGGCGTTGCTGCTGCCGTTGCTGCCGCCCCCCCCGCCGCCGACGCCGCCGCCACCGCCGCTGCGTCCGTCGAGGTGCCCGGGGCCATCGCGGCGACCGGGGACGACGCTGCTGCTGCCGCTGCTGCCGCCCCCCCCGCCGCCGACGCCGCCGCCACCAACGCTGCGTCCGTCGAGGTGCCGGGGGCCATCGCGGCTACACGGGGACGACGCTGCTGC